GGGAAAGCAAATAAAAGCTGTTGCGGAAAACGTTGGGGCTACACGGACGTGTTCTACAGCAGATGCACAATGTAGTGCACGTACTTGCATGCTTACAACACCCTATGCATGTGCTGTTTGGGAGTCCCTGACCAGTCAGGTTTTCCAGAGGCATGGATAGACATGGATGCTTAACCGTATGTATTTAATTCCCTCCTGATGTGTTGGCTGTAGATAATGGCACAGTCCCAATGTTTGTTTCCTGCAACAGGAGTAATATGTAGTTCTGCCATAAGCAGAGATGCAGCAGCAGAGCTGCTATTGGAACATCAGAGGGGGACTGGTGTAGAATGTTCACCACTTTGAGGGCTGCTTCGCATGTGTTAGGAAAAACCTGTAAGGCCGTGTACCCACCATACCTGCAAAGCACATGATGATTCATATGTGCCTGTTTTGTTGAGACACAGAAGCAGCAAAATGGATGCAATCCTAGTTGCACATGGTGGCCTATCTGCATTTTGCATACTCCTTATCCTACACAAAATATCTGAAGTGGTCCTGTGGATAAATGTGCTCTATGATGTAGTAGCTATCTCCTTTTTCCTGCAACTGCCCCTGGTTTCATTGCTGCTGCATTGTGTTGCTCTGAAGGGAAAGCCCTTTGCAACTGGTTAATTTTGGACAGGGCCAAGAAAGTAAATGAGAGCTGTATGGAGGAGGAGCGTGCACTTTTTGCAAGCTTGTTAAAGCAGCATCTTAAATCCCCTTAGTTGGGTAACTTGTCTCCTGCCTTTACAAGTTTTGATTATACCCTTTGGTATTTGGGGGGAAATCTGCATGCTCAATCCTTGCTTGACTGTGGTTGAAAAACTGGTGAATATAGGTATGAAATGCACATCCACACACCACAAGGAGGCTGGTGATTAGAGATTTTAGCACACCATTTTAACTGAGCAGAGTTTTGCTTTATTGCGGGGGGGGGGGGGGCGGCGGGGCAGAAATCTCAATTCTTTACGAGGTTTTTCAGAAAATTATGGCTGATGCTGTTTTTATTAGATAAATACGTGTCCTTGTGTACATATGGGGGATTTTTAAGGTTAATGAGGCGTGGGTCATCACACTTATTTCTGTTTGTTTGCTTTATTGGCTGTAGGTAAGTGTCTTCAATGCCCTTCATATAGAATTATCTCATATAGGTCACGCTATTGGTTCATCTAGTTCAGTACTCTCTGCTCCATGGCCGTGCCTCCTCAAAGTCTTAGACAAGAACTTTCTCAGCCCCTTCTGACATCCTCTGACACCAGGGGTTGAATCTGGGACCTTCTCCATGCAGGGCTTTGACAGGAGCATTAGTCATAGCAGTTGAAAAACCCCCCCAGGCCACCTGGAAGCCCATTGGATCCATCAGCCTCCAAGGGAGGACCATCCTAATAGGTGCATTTTTTGGTTCCCTCATTACATATCTTCAGGGGCCAGGCAAAAACTTTCCTCTGTAACCAGGACTTTGTCCTTTAACTATCTGTGGCCTTTAAGAAGTGGTGGTGGGATGTTTTTAATGTACTTCCCCTCTCTTGGTTTTAATGTATCTATGTGTGGTTTTTGTTTGTCTGTTTGGTGGTAAGTCACTTTGGGTTGCCCTGGACAAGATAAAGCGATCAACACATTCAGCAAATAATACAGAAATAATAATAATAATAATAATAATAATAATAATAATAATAATACAGAGCCTTATCCACAGTACATGTGCTGAAGTTGTATTATCTGTGATTAATTTATAGACACAGATGCTTTAAAAAATAACAGAAGACCATATGATCCTTTGATATTGAGCTGTGCTTGTGTTGTGCTGGCCTCATTTGCACAGAATGCTAAGCTGCCCCTGGCTTAGGGTTACGAGAATGAGCTGCAGCCTTGGGCATTGTATAGCAACCCATATCCCTTTTCAAGTGTTCCTAGGCTCCAGCTGCGGATGATGTGTGACACGCTTGCAGTGAATGAAATGCTCAGTGTCAGCAGGGGCAATTTAATGCATTTTGAAAACTTTATGTATAGCTCAATATTTGCAGTGCCTTTCTCATGTAATGTGATTGTTGTGAGATTTCGCAGCGCTCTCATGAGATCTTGACGGAAGCCGCTGACACTTGACTTCTCCATTGTGGGGGAGATGGGGCACACATGGAGACACCACCCCTGCCTCAGTCCACCTCATGGGCGAGCCAGCCATGTCCGTGCTTCTAAGCATGTGAGATGCACCCATTTCTCACCACGCCCAATCGGAGACTGGGTGGGAAGGACTTCCTTTTGCCTGTCCTTCTCCTTCCTTCAGTTTCATTGGGTGATCCCTGGGGTCTGGTATAAAAAGTTCTCCCTGTCAACATCATGCATGATGTTATGGGCCACCCAAGTCTCCGAGCGTGTGCGATTCCAGGGGTCTTGGCACTTAACCAGGGTTTGCATTCCCTTTGGAATGAGACACACAGCGGAGGCCATGCTGTCTTTATGATATATGGTTTTATTGACATATAAATACAGCCTGAGTCGGGTGGAGCCGGGATTTCCAGCATTCACATCTCAAGAGGTGCTTGCTTCCTACGGAAGCGCAGCATTGGATTCAAAGGCAGCCAGACAGCCATCTCTGTGTCCCATTGCCCCAGCCTGCTGCAGTCAGCCTGAATGGCTTCTGCCCCATTGCTTCTTCTTTTTCTCACAAACCCTTGCCAAATGTGACTTCCCTTTCCGCTTATATCATTGCCCACTATAATCCTGGCAACCTTCCCCTCTGTCCCTGGCATGGTGCCCCCCATCAAGTAAATCAATAAAAATACTTAACTAACTGACGTTCTGCCCCCTCAACACGAAGCCTGCCCCCCAGCATAAATCCTGGCTACACCATGGTCCCTGGCAGAGTCTTCTGCCTTGTGAATGGCTTCTCTTGGTGGGTTAATTACTGGCCATTTCAGCCTTTGTTTCTGAATGGCTTATCCCCAGCCAGCTACGTTGAACCCAGCTGGCTTGTTATTCCTAAACTTATCCCCGCAGTGTGGAGCACAGTTTTTTTTTACAAATTTTACAAATTCCAGGAATTATGGGTGCCCCTGTACCCACAAACTCTGGGGCCTGAACACATATAGCAATAATTTTTAAAAGCTGCCGAGCGATAAGTTCTACAGATGAAGCATTTCCAAGGACAAAAATGCAATGGGGAAAACTTCACCAATAATATTTCTGCTTGCCCCACTTGGGAACATAGCAAGGAAGAAAGAGAGAGGTGTCAGCAGAGTGGGAGAGAAGAAACTTTGCCGCGGTAGTAAGCTGTTGAGGGAGGAACTTGGGGGAAGATGGTTTATAGGGAGAGATGACTTGAACCAAGACAAAGAAGCAGGTCTAGCAAGGGAGAGAGCAAATCAGAAAGTAGGGCTAAAGCCTAGAAAACCACATGATTTGCAGAAAGTGAGAGAAGGAGAAAGTGTGGTGGAGAGAGGTGCAAAGATCTGCTATTATTGAATGAGTCACATCCCATGTAACTGTGATTCTGACGTCTGATTCCTTACTGTTCCATTCCTATATTTAACTTTAATGAGAAAACACAACCTTCCCCTCCTTTCATTCTTTCCAGAGCTGATGCTTTGGCTTTGTGTTATTTGGGGGAGCTCCCATATCCCACTTTTATCTTCCTCACCCTCACCGTCACCCTCCCCCCCCTCTCACACACACACACTATACAGTAGGTTGTGTACAGGCATATATTATTTCAGATGGGAACCCATTATGGAAGTACACTCACTTCATTTCAAACAAATATACAATAACTGTACTCACTGGGTGTAAAGGAAACGTGTTCCTCTACCCCCACCCCAATTTTGTAACAGAAGCATAATTTGTGCAATTCTGGTTGGCTGGCCTTTGTGTCAGTCACAGAGCCACTCCTGCCCTTCCTCAGAGCATGTTAAATGGATATTTAATTATTTTTCTTTCTTTTTCTATCTAGCTGTTTTATTTTACCTGTAAGCAGCTTTGTGTCCCTGACAGGGAAACAGGTGGGGAACCAACCAACCAACCAACCAACCAACCAACCAACCAACCAACCAACCATAATAAAGTGGGAGAAAATGTATAAAATAATCGGGGATTTCCACATGGCAGTTTATTGTGGTCTTGGGGCTGCTCATGCAGCCACACAGAGTTGTCCTCATCAAAAAGCCATCCCGTATTATTTCCCCATTTGATCCACACTTGCTAGGCGGTGTCCAATGTCCTTGTTCCATTAGCACAAGGATTAACATTTGCACAACAGAACTCCCACGTGTGCACCCCACACCCTTCCCAAATCTGCTCTGGAGGGTTGGTGAAATCCCCAGAATGAATTTGGCAGGTGGGTGTGGGGAAGTGGGGGAGCCCCATTGCACAAGAGTAAATCCTCACACTGACAGACTTCGTGCCTCTTTGGATACAAGCCACTTTTTCTGTGGAAAACTGGATAAGTAGAAACAACAGGAGAATCAAGGGGAGGGGTGTAACATTTTGATGTGGCGGATGCTTTGTGGGTACTAAATCTGCATCTATGGGAAGCAGCAAGCCCCCAATAAACTGCACTGTGGGGGCTCCCTTGAACAAATGCTTCAGCAGAGAACCATGTGTGCCCTCCTTGGAAGAGAGGACCTGGACCTGCTGCTGTTTCTGTTGCTGTCTTTGTACAGCCACAATGGCTAATCTAGAACATTCCTTGGCAGAGAATTCTGAGGTGTCCCCATTTCCTTGCTTTCTGAGAGTTTCTGGGAATTGCTGTGCGACTGGTGATTGAAGAATATATTGGGGGATCTCACATCTGCTTTCTTTCCCTTAAAAAGTAATCCTGTAGCTGGTTTTGCAATCATGGATGTAGCCAGAATTTTTGTTGGGGGGGGGCAGAACCTCAGTTTGCTATATCTTTTTATTGAATTTTATTGACTGGGGGGGGCAGCTGCAGTCACAAAGCTATTGTGTACATTTTCTCAATTTTGAAAATTCTTGTTTTCTAGGTGTGTTGTCGTGCTGTTCAACCCTAGGAAAAATAAGCAACACCATATTCTGAATAGTTCCAGGTAAGTGAAACCCAGAACTCTGAGTGGTGGTTTGTCCATTTTTTTGGAAGGAAAATGCAAGAGCCCCTTGAGCAACAAAAATAATAATCAATAATCTTATTATTTATATGCTACCCATCTGACTGGGTTGCCCCAGATACTCTGGTTGACTTCCAACAAAGTAATAAAACACAAAAAACCTCAAACATTAAAAACTTCCCTGGGCTTCAGATGTCTTTTAAAAGTCAGGTAACTGTTTATTTCCTTGACATCTGATGGAAGGGCGTTCTACAGGGCAGGCATGACTGCAGAGAAGGCCCTCTGCCTGCTTCTCTGTAACTTCACTTCTCGCAGTGAGGGAACTGCCAGAAGGCCCTCAGCGCTGGATCTCAGTGTCTGGGCTGAATGCTGGGGGTGGAGAAACTTCTTAAGATATACAGAGCCAAAGCTGTTTAGGGCTTTAAAGCACCAGCACTTCTGGATTAGTTGTAGTTTTTGAGTCCCCTTCAAAGGCAGCCCAATACAGAGCACATTGAAGTAGTCCAAGAGGAAGATAACCAGTGCATGTGCCACTCTGGTGAGACAGTGCGCAGGCAGGTAGGGTCTTGGCCGGCGTAACAGATGGAGCTGGTAGACAGCTGCCCTGGATACAGAATTAACCTGTGCTTCCACAAACAGCTATGAGTCCAAAATGGCTATGTACCTGGTCCTTCAGGTGCACAGTTACGCTATTCAGGACCAGGGAGTCCCCCACACCTGCCTACTCCCTATCCCCCAAAACAGTACAGAGAAGTTTAAATGACTTCTTACCATAAATTTCAAAGTTAAATGACTTCTTACCAAATTGTTCAAAGTTTCTCAGCAGGTATAGGTGTTAAGAACAACACAAACAAACAAACAAACAAACAAACAAAAACCCCGTTAACAGAATATGTTCTTACGTGTCCAGGCTATACTGCTGTTTCTGTCATAATGTGTTATGAAATTATCCAGGCTGTTGTTCTGGATAGAACCCCTCTTTCCTCTGGGCATGGCTCCTTATCAGATTAACGTCTCAAATAAAGTTAGTTGGCAAAGTATCCGGGAGAGAGAGAGACTATCGGCTTCACATGGATGCATAAGGAATTCTTCCATGTTTATTTTGCACACCCATACCTGCAGCCAAACCTTAAAGCATGAAAAGCTTTAAAAGCCACAATTTGTTCTAGTATGTCATATCTCTTCAGCATCTCACTGATTCAGAGTGCAACGTTTGGAATTACTTAACACTGTTAAGCTCACCTGGCAAAGACTGTCTTGGCTATGTTTTCATTCACACAAACCCGCTTACATGTTTGTGTGGGAGTTGAAAATTCATCAACTCTTCACCCAGTGTCAGTACTGTTTCACAATAAGCTCTCCTCTCTTTACACAGAAAAACTATTACAGCCCTTGCTTTTTCTCCTGATGGAAAATACCTGGTTACTGGAGAGGTAAGTGACGTCCTGAATGCTTACATAGGAGCTGATAGGCCTCATGGTCCAGAGATACAAATGCCTCCTTCTCACAACTATCCCAACAGACTAAAAAGGCTGGATTTGAGTGAGGCATTTTCCTGTCCTCCCAGATTGAAGAAGAGGGCCCTGGCTCCATTAAAGAGTTGCCTGATGGGAGTGAGGGTTGCATGGGGAATAGCTAGTATGGATAGGTGCTTTCTAAATCTTTCAGAGCAGGGAAGATTTGCATTTTGAGAGCAAACTGCTTCTCTCCCAGTAAATGCTGGGAGATTCTAGAGTTGGAGGAACTGTGTGAGCATCCATAATGTGTGACTGGGATCTGGGAAGAGCCATTGTTTAGTGGCAGATCACATTTTTCACCTATAGGAGGTTCTGTCTTACAGGATAAGATTATAGGATCTTAGATGGAAACCCTGGAAAATACCTCTCCGATGGTGGAGATCTACTGTTCCCTAGAATCGTATTTTGACCCAGATGTCCTGTTAGTCTGACTCAGTATAAGGCGGCTCCTTATCTTATTAGGAAAATATGTCCATGTGTTTAGATAAAAAAGGGATAAGTATCCCCCTCTCTCCCAAGAGTGGGGGAATAGGAGGGGTGTTTTACATTGAGAATATATGATTATCTGATTAAAAGATCCATAAGGGAACTCTTAATTTGCCATCGTGTTACGATTTGGCCAAAGCATTTAAAGAGGAAACCCGCATGAGCTCAGTTGCTTATCTGGTCTCAGTAGGTTTGCTTTTAAAACTATTTTCTAGAGAGCGAGGATCAGACGTTTGGACAAATGAAAGCACAGATTGGATTTGCAGGGTGGGAGTTAGCTGAGGGCCCTAAACATGCCGCACCCCACCCCTTATTCGTTCAAGGGAGAAAGCAGAGGAAGTCGACCAAAGGTCCCTGTTGCTGCTTTCCTCCTTGGATTTCACCCCTCAGGATACAAAGAGGACAACGTTAACAGTCTTACTTAATTTTTTTTTAAGAGAGGAAAGGAAAGCACATTTGGAAGGAAGCCTTGAGAATAGTGACAAAGATCCTGGTGCCTGTGGCTTTGGCTGGGTTTAGTTGCTGGCAGAAAGTTTTTCCCTTTGAGAGATGCATAAAAGGAGGACAAAGATGACTGCATTCAGTTTCTAATGCAGACCAGATACACAATGCTCATACTGTAAGTGTAATGAAGCCTGAATTGATGAATGCTGGAAGCCCACAAAAATGTTGACTGTCCTCTTCTTGTCCATGTTGGATGGCTGCCAGAGATGTCTTCTGAGGCGGATTCCCATTGGGCCCTGCACACAAACTTTTTTTTTTTAAATTACCCCAGATGCCTTGGACTTTAAATATCAAATTTAAGAGATGATTACCTCCCCACACTGCAAAAAGACAAGTAATAATTAATGAAATAATTAGTGAAATGTTCTTTCTCCCTCTTCTTCTACTGAACCTCTCCAGAGCAGGAACCATCTCTACCAACTTTCTCCATTGATGTTCATAATGTTAGAAACCTCCTGTGTAATAATAACTATAGGTGGAAACTATAGTGCTTCAGTAATACAAAAGTTCTGTCAGAGCAAGCATTTCTGCTCTCCAGATGGAACAATCTCAGTTCTCCTCCCCCAATGCACTGTTCTGCTGGTGGTAGTCTGGCCTGTCTGCACCTGTGCGTGAAAATAAAATGTGAGACATGAGAGATCTTTCCTACATCTGGTGGGAAGAACGTGTGTGTGTGTGTGTGTGTGTGTGTGTGTGTAGAAATCTCAGCTTTATTTTACTATATATAAATATTTATAAAGCACAATTTCCTAAAAATGCAAGAAGGCGGTCTACCCCATGCAAAAATTACAACAATAAATCATCAACAAAACACCAATAAAAACATCCATTAATACTAGTAGGCTAAAGGAAAATTCACATTTCAAAGGCCTGTCTAAATAACACTGTTTTTTGGTGATGTCTAAAAGAAGGCAGGGATAATTCGTGATGTTTAACAGAAGGCAGGGATAATTCGTGCCAGAGCTTCTGGCAGGGAGTTTCACAGGCCAGGGCCTGCCGCACAGAAGAATCGGTCCCATGTAAATTATGACCGAACCTTAGGGTCATGGGGAATCACAGTAAGTGCCCCATCAAAGAATCTCAGTGATCAAGATGGAGCATAAGAGATCAGGTTGTCCTTAAGGTACTTTGGCCCCAAGTTGTTTAGAACACAAGAACCTTGAAGCTGACCCAGTAGCGACTGGCAAACAGTGCAGCTCTCTTGGCAGAGGAATGACGTGTTGCCAGTATGCGTGAAGATAGCTTGGAATGTAATAGGTAGGTTGTTATTTAATGGAGAAGCTAGGCCATTGTGCTAGGTACATGTTTGTTTGGTTTTTTAATATACGTATATATAAAGATACAGGCATTTTATTCTTCGACAGCTCTCTGCACCTGAGACTTCCCCTTACCTGCACATTATCAAGAGGCTCAGTTAACCCTGGCTAGAAAAAGGCTCTTCTTTGGTTGCCATGGTGATGTCACCTAGAAGGCCACCTTTTTGCAGGCTTTTGTAAAATCATGAGGAAGCTGTTGAGTAGGAGTTGCCTGTCGCGCTTGTACTTCTCTATATTTCACTTTAAAATAAAGTGCTTCATTTTTGTTGCAGTACTAGAGAAAGGTGTTAATGGAACAAAAGAAGGGTTCTTTTAAAAAAACAACAACAGCAAAGCCCGTTCCTGTTCACCATTCATTCTTAACCAAAATAATATGGTCACTTATGGGGCTAATTTAACTATGTTCTTCATATTATTTCTTAATTTTCTTTACAGATTGCTGCAGTTAGCATAAATTTCTCCCTCCTTTAGGAGTTTTCATGAGTGTCCCCTCTCCTAAAGGGTTGTGAAAGAATACTTTGTCTCTATCTATATCTATCTATATTCTTGCTAACAGTCTCAAATAACTCAAAAAGGTTAGTGTTACAGGACTTAACCTTGCAGAACCTATGCTGACTCTTCTTCTATATGCTTGGGAATTATACTCGTAATAATACTTTCTGCTAGTTTTCCCAGAACAGACGTTAAGCTAACCACACTGTAATTTCCAGTATCCCCTCTGTATTCCTTCATAAGAATTGGTGTTTTTAGCGCTGCAAATCATCCTTTATAGAGTAAAAAATAAATAAATCATATTTTTAGCTGAAGATTTCTGTGCAGAAATGCACATTTGACTCATCATGCACACTGCAAAGTGTATTTAATTTATATGTAGGTGGATGCATCGCCACTGGCTTTAAGGTTTGTATTAAGTGCCTCTGTTCATTGCCATTGTTGTTTCTCGTTTCCAGAGTGGGCACATGCCTGCTGTTCGAGTATGGGATGTTGCTGAACGGACTCAGGTGGCTGAACTTCACGAACATAAGTATGGTGTGGCGTGTGTGGCGTTCTCCCCGAGCTCCAAGTACATTGTGTCTGTGGGTTACCAACATGACATGATAGTCAATGTATGGTCATGGAAGGTAAAACTATAAGAAGATTCTTTTTAGTATTCACATTAGCAGAAGTGGAATCTGTGGGTAGTGGTGGTGGGGTTAGATTAATTTTTGGAATAAGCATGCTAAAGTCTGGTAGCAGCCTCATTGGAAAGAAAATGGCCCACCTATCTTCACTACTTCCTCTCCTTTTTATCTAATGTCACACAATGGAATATCGCAGCAGGCTCTTCCTTTTCCATACTTTAGACTGGAACATAGATGGACCAGTGATCTGGCTTATACCAAGTCACAGAATTGTTCCATCTGACTAGCAGCAGCTCCCGAGAGTTTCAGACAGGGACATTCTCAGCTCTATTTGGGCACATCAAGGATTGAATTTAGGAATGTCTTCACACAAAGCAGATGCTCTACCCTTGAGCCAGGGTACTACTTTCATAAGATGAAAGAGCATGTTTACTATGTTTTAGATAACTATTTTATTTCCTTTGTCTGCAAATAGTTTTATTGAAATTTGTACACACACACACACACACACACACACACACACACACCAGTGCAATAAGAACCAGTGCATTAATATCTTTGTCAGATACCTATTTTATTTTTCAAAAGGTGATACTCATTCTGGGTTCTTTGGTAGCAAAGTGGTGTGTGTGTGTGTCCTCCCAAGGTCTTTAAATTATTTTTGCTCCCTGTGATATCCAGAAACGCTTTTTTACAATTGTTATTGCTGATAGCAAAAGTTGCTTCTCCAGGGAGAGAGAATCCTTTGATCGGATGAACAAATAAACTGGCATTTTTTGTTTAAACAAGAGTGTACTTTATTTCCTGCAAAAGTTGATATGTATTCAGCTTTCTTGTTTACATGTGGGAATTCATGCATAAGATGTTTAACACAAGGAAGACAAGAATGCTTTTTTTGTGCCAAGCTAATACAAACTAGACTGTTTGAGAGGCGAGGGGCAATAACCTGCTTATTTAGTTTTTATGTGTATAGCCTGCTGTTCAGCATGTTATGTTAGCCATGTTCAAGGATTTGACTTTGGGCTATTTTGCCATGTAAGATGTTTCACTATGTCTTACCTATCCACGTTAATCCACTTGTTTCAAAATATTTTATTCTGATAGGTCAGATTTAGTCATAAGCAAATCCCCCCCCCCGCCATGAATTTTGATAACCAGGCATGTGAATACATCTCCTGGCTATATCTATTTAAGGTCCTAATCAGAATTTTTTTCTGGGCTAGTGAGAGTTTATGTTTGTGTGTGGTGATAGACTAGGCAAAACTCTTCCCTTGGTAACTTAGTTACCTGCAGATGCTCCATGAAGATACCAAATCAAGTGGGCGTCTAATGCGCACATTTCTTCCCCTTCCAGAAAAGGGGAGATTGAGAATGCTGTCAGCTTTATCATCTTGAAATTAGTGTCTGTAAAATCCTTCTATCTATGTTTATCATGGTATAAAGGAAAGTGTGCCCAGACAGAGTGCACACTGAGCTTAAAACACATATTACTACAGTTTTATTATGTGAAAGCTGAAGTAGCAGTGTTACAAGCAAGGCTTGGAGCCAACCAAAGATGCTATAAATTTTATGTCTTAGAATCATAGAACCATAGAGGCTTTGTCAGTTACTAGATGCTGCAGCGACCTGGACGTTTTCTATCGTGTGTGTGTGGAAGATATGTGTTATATTTGTGGTAAAATACACACCTGGGTGGTGCTGTGGGTTAAACCACAGAGCCTAGGTCTTGCCGATCAGAAGGTCGGCGGTTCGAATCCCCACGACAGGGTGAGCTTTCGTTGCTCGGTCCCAGCTCCTGCCAACCTAAGCAGTTCGAAAGCACTTCAAGTGCAAGTAGATAAATAGGTACCACTCCGGTGGGAAGGTAAACGGTGTTTCCATGCGCTGCTGTGGTTCGCCAGAAGCGGCTTAGACATGCTGGCCACATGACCCAGAAACTGTACGCTGACTCCCTCGGCCAATAAAACGAGATGAGCGCCGCAACCCCAGAGTCTGTCACGACTGGACCTAATGGTCAGGGGTCCCTTTACCTTTACCTTATACATCTGGGTACTTTTAAATGTAGCCATGCACAGCATTATCTTAGAAAGGAAGAATGGTGGTGTCCCTTAGCCTAAATGTATGGTATCCCAAGGTAGGGATGAGTATGTGCTGATGACTCAAGCTACAGAACTCTTGCTGTTTAAATGTGTCATTTTATGCTTAGGGATGAGGTGGGGGTTGAAGGGCACAACCTATGTCTGTCTGCATACCTTATAGACACATAAATGTGCATATTAGGTATGTAGCCAACTAAGTCATACTCATGTGTAGAACCACTGAAATCAATGGATTTTTCTTAGCCGTCTCTATTGATTTCAGCGGGTTTACTTTTGATTATAATTCAGTCAGATGCAGCCCTATGTGCCCAAAGGGGAACTCTGCAACAAAAAGGAGGTCCCCAGTTGCTTGTGGGCTCTTTGCTGGGAGTACACTGAGCACATGAAGGGGAAAGGGAAGATGGCTGTTTCTGCCCCTCTGCCCTTCTGTCTTCGCACCCCATTTCTGCAAGTGAAGTACAAATCTGTGATTTGTCACTCACGACTTACATTTGCAAATGGAACCTCTTTGGTCAGCAAGAGATTTGATTTGCTTGAACATTTTCTTTCCAGAAAAACATTGTTGTAGCAGCCAATAAGGTCTCAAGCAAAGTGACAGCAGTGTCATTCTCTGAGGATTGCAGCTACTTTGTCACAGCTGGAAACCGGCACATCAAATTTTGGTACCTGGATGACAGCAAAACCTCAAAGGTGAGAGGCACAAATGAGAAACTGCATATATGCGGGTGATGGGAAGGAACTGTTGAGACGGGGAGAGAGGATGCATTTTCTACAGAAGGTTTTGCTTTGCTTGGCTGATGGCTTGCCATGCCCTAAACAATTTTGGAAATACAGATAATCTGTTGTGCATTTTATTGATGATATTGGCCATGGAAAAATAAAAAGCTTTATCCTATAATATTCACTGAGTGCATCTGAGAAGTTCTCTTCTGAACATTTTTAATTATTTCTTTTTTATGAGAAGCAACATAGTAGATTTATAAAAGCAGTGTTCAGCTATTTTGTAAATATTTTCATTTTAAAAACAGAGGCTACCTTCATGCTTTCAATTTTCTCAATAAAACATGTTGTTCAACATTTTCCTGCATTTTATTACACCAGTTCATAACCAGTGGGACCCACTTCTCTATAAATTGATAGTCAATCTGCCTTCCTTCTCTTACTCTTACTATGTTTTTGCTAGTTTTATCATTTGGACAGCGTCCCATATTCTCAAAATTCAGTCTTGTAATGGGGTGTTGATTTCCTCCTGACTTGGAACTGATTGCGGCATAGACTGCTATCAGAAAGTGTGTTATCATTGTCCTGTCTTCTAGCAAAACATGATTTTAGAATATATCCCAATAATACAACTGGTGGATTTATTTGTAGCACATGCCCTGTTCAAAGCATTTATGCTCACCAACGTACAGCAATCTTCTAACATATTTTTCTCTTTTGTACCAGGTGAATGCTACAGTTCCTTTGCTCGGACGTTCCGGTTTGCTTGGGGAACTAAGGAACAACTTCTTCACAGATGTGGCATGCGGCAGGGGCAAAAAAGCAGACAGCACTTTCTGTATCACTTCCTCAGGTCTCCTGTGTGAATTCAACGAGAAGAGGCTGCTGGACAAGTGGGTGGAGCTGAGAGTAAGTTCAGAAGCTGGAACTCTTGGTTGATGATGATGGGAATGCACTAAGCCCACAAGCTGTTGTCCTGGGAGCTGGGGCACGCTTGGTCTGAAGGCATGCTATGCAGGAACCTTGATGAAGTTAACCAGGTCTAGATTTGGCCTGGAAGGAGTCTGCCTGGGAGCCTTATATATGGAAGAAAGGATGTTTTGATTATGTTTCTAGATATGTTGTAGCCACCCAGAAGGGCTGGGGAAACCCAGCCAGATGGACAGGATACAAATAATAAAATTATTATTATTATTATTATTATTATTATTATTATTATTATTATTATTATTATGCAAACAAACAAACAAAGCCTGCAAATGACTAGGTAAAGGTAAAGGTACCCCTGCCCGTACGGGCCAGTCTTGACAGACTCTGGGGTTGTGCGCCCATCTCACTCAAGAGGCCGGGGGCCAGCGCTGTCCGGAGACACTTCCGGGTCACGTGGCCAGCGTGACAAGCTGCATCTGGCGAGCCAGAGCCGCACACGGAAACGCCGTTTACCTTCCCGCTAGTCAGCGGTCCCTATTTATCTACTTGCACCCGGGGGTGCTTTCGAACTGCTAGGTTGGCAGGCGCTGGGACCGAACAACGGGAGCGCACCCCGCCGCGGGGATTCGAACCGCCGACCTTTCGATCGGCAAGCCCTAGGCGCTGAGGCTTTTACCCACAGCGCCACCCGTGTCCCTCTGCAAATGACAAGTGAGGTCTAAAATGACACTTGCCCTATTTGCATGGAAAGGGGATAGGTACAATTGAAAGGGGTATGTGGGCCTGGGTGCGGAAACACCCTTTCTCCTTGCCTCCCGTACTACTGCAGCCCACCTTCCCAGATTTCTCCTACCTGGGCTCAGATAGGAATGAGCCTAGCTGGGAGAAAAAACACACACTTGGGGGAAAGTAAGTGCTTAGGGGTGGGTTCAGTGCCCCTTCTCCACTCACCTGCCCTTTGGCCCTTCTACAGTTTTCAGGGGTTTTTTTTGTATCTCTACCTTCTATGTTACAAAAAATAGGGCACCACCAGGATTTCAAGTTTGTTGTCAGAGGGTTCATTTACACCTCCCAGTAAAGTGCACTTTTTATTGGTCCATTTTGAAAGTCGCCTGTAGTTTGGGACTGAGATATATTCATGAAGTGTTTGGATATATCTATATATTTAGCATTTGGACAATTGTTTTCTGCAGAGAGCCACTTGAAAGCCTCTGTCACCCAGGCATGGTAGTGTCCTAAAATAAGACCCCAACTGTGCCGTCTGGGGAGACTCTGTGAATATTGCATGAGAATTGTCTTGAACAGCATTTTTAGCAGCTCATTACTGCATTTCCTTCTCTAGCAAAAACTAATGTATACACGCTTAAGGACTTTAAGTAAAAGTGATTTTAGAATATTTATTCCATGCAGCCTCACATTAGTGCTACAGTTCAGATGAGTAACTGAATCTGAAAAATGCTGATTTGCAGAAGCCCTAGTAGTTGTGACCGACCTGCATTACAAACTGAATTAGAATAATAGAATTGTACAGTTGTAATTGTGCAAGGTGCCTTTTCTGTCTACAAAGAGGTAATAACTAGATCTGTGATGAATAGACACCTAGACACCTTGATGCTGAACCGCACTGAAAACTTGCTCTCCCTTGTAGTATGGTAAAACACAAAGGTTTGCATGTGTGTGTGATTACTTTTTTTAAACAGGAGCCTCACTCTCCAAGTTGAATGTCTCTCTTTCTCTCTCCTCCTTTCCTTCCTTTCTGCACTGAAATCACCTTTTCTCTTTTACTTAGAACACAGACAGCTTCACAGTAAGTCAGAATGGCATCGTTGCCTCCAGCACCCCACTTCCACACCATGCCTCCCATTTGTTGTCATATTTTGCGATGGTGCAAATCGTAATAGCGGGGGGAATATTTAGTGGAATAGGACAAAGTCTAAGCCAGAAAGTGTGTTTTGGCAGGGTTCCTTTCCTCTCCTGATGCAGGGGAATATTGCCCCAGTATGGTGCGTAAATAATTGTTGTGTGACTTGCAGGAGGGAAAGGAACTGCTAGGAAAGGACATTCGTTTTCTTTTCATTTGGTGGCTTCATCTCATATTACTCACTTTCTTCACTTTCGTCCCTCTTTGTCCCCCCCACCCTGATTTCCTTCTACCTCGTCATGCTTTTAATGTGGTGCTTTTTTAAGGAATGTGGGTTGCTCATGTGGGTGTCTTGTGTCCTCAGACCACTGTGGCAAACTGCATCTCTGTGAACCACGATTACATCTTCTGTGGCTGTGCGGATGGCACGGTGCGGATTTTTAACCCTTTGAACCTTCACTTTGTGACTACGCTCCCCAAGCCGCACTTCCTGGGGACGGATATTGCCAGCGTCACAGAAGCCAGGTAGGAAAAGGGAGAGGCCCACGAGCCTCTTTTGACATAACAAAATCTGTGATCTTGTACGATGTCTCAAAGTCATGGCAAGAGTGCCTGCTTGGCGTTTCAGCTTTTCAGTCTGTATTGAAAGTGAAGGTGGGCCCATAGCTCAGCAGTAGGACATATGCATTGCATGTAGAAGGATCCAGGTTTGATATGTGGCATCTGCAGAGTTCCCTGCTTTGGAAAGGTGCTGCTCAAGTGCATATATGGGATAGGCAGGCAAATAGTCTGACCAGGTACAAGGTAGTTTTGTGCATTAATATAACTAAGCAGCTGTACTTGTTTCCAGTGACCTACAAATTTGACTTCTCCCATCTTCCTTCTAAAGCAGTTCCTTCTGTGCCTTTACACCCAAATCTTGTCTTGTAGTATTCTCTCCCTTCCTGTGCCCCAGTCTCAATCTGACATCGTCCTAGTAGGCTTTGGGGAGTTTAAGTAGGCAGAATGCGCTTGCCTTGGACTCTTTATCATTGGATAGTTGGAGCTATGCATTGGTATGCACACACAACAGAGCATTCTTTTGTTGCCCTTCCAAGTATTTTAATTAAATATGCATTTCTCTAGAAACAAACTTGATGCAAAGAAGCATTCCTTGTTCAGCCTCTCCATGCCTGTGTGCAGCATCTTTTAATATCTTGCTAGCTGGAATTGCTAGACCATTAGCATGTTGCTGCCCTGTTAGCCAGAGAGTCCCTTGATTGCCTGCATTTTGCAGGAGAGATTCAAGCACATACCAGGAAATCTGGGTTTGCACAATTCAAGTGAATTAAAGTGTTCTGTCATCCTAGCACAACAAATCCAAATTAAAAAAGAAACTGACTTTTTGCAGTTAGGAGACTAATAGTGAAATGCATTAAAAAGTGTAGGATGAATGAATTATTAACAGGGAAATGTGTAAACATCCCACAAGGAAATTGGGATGAATGCAGGATGACTGTTGATTTGTAGTAAAACAAAATATTCCACCTAAACATTAGGAAGAACTTCCTGACAGTAAGAGCTGTTCGACAGTGGAATTTGCTGCCAAGGAGTGTGGTGGAGTCTCCGTCTTTGGAGGTCTTTAAGCAGAGGCTTGACAGCCATATGTCAGGAGTGCTCTGATGGTGTTTCCTGCTTTGCAGGGCGTTGGACTCGATGGCCCTTGTGGTCTCTTCCAACTCTATGATTCTATGATTCTATGAAATGAGAACAAATTCTCAATGAAGACCAGATACGATCTAACATCTGTGTAAGCTCTGGGCAAGCAAATCAGGTTGAGTGCTCAATAAACTGGTTCTCTAGAATAGCCCAGAAAGACAGAAAAAAATACAAATGTGCAAGGCAAGTGCCTTTTCAATGCACTGGCTCTTGGGTCTGAAAAGACCAACTACTCTGCAGATTAAAAAGTGATACACCCTGTCCAGCTGTGGCCGAGAAAGCCATGACTGTGCATACTCCCATCCCTTGGCCACAATAATAGTTCACGTGTTTGGATTACAGCTTTGCCTTGCTGAGCCAAACTTCTGCTCAGAATGCAGCCTTGAGCAGCTAATGAGAGCTGCATCCTAAAACTGCAATGATTTGAAATGGGAAGCTGGGCATCAAACGCGGAGTCTGTTTGTTCCGTTTCTGAAAGCCTCGTGTTGTTGGAGCACTCGGCCAGCAATACACTGTGCTGGCTCTTTTTTCCTCCAGAAGCAATTTCTGCCAGTCCCATGCCTATACTTTCTCTCTGAGCAGCCAAAATTACGTGGCTCCTAAAAGTATGGAGCTTGGGAGCTGATCACAAACATAGCTGCATGCATATATATTTTTTTTCATTTGAAAGGAAGCTGAAAGCCACAGACATCATTAAAACCATTTCATGCAATAGGTTCTTTGTGGGATGCTTGTCTTGAGCCCTTCTGACAGCCCACGCTTCATTAATTACTTGGCTTTCAGTACAATCTCTGTTACATTCTTTGGTCTGCTAGTTCTCAAAATCTGACCCTTTCAGTTGCCCTAGCGCCGTTTATCTTTTTTTAAAAAAACCAACATCATATTATTTATTTGATATTCTCTGCATTTCAGTTGCTGTTCTAGATGTGTGAATGCTACTATCAGGGTCTGTTGCTGCTCTATCCCCACCCCCTAGGGAAATGTACATGCAGCAGTTTCTTCAAAATCTGATGAGATTCTGAGATAGGGACCATACAATGAATAATAGCACTAAGCAATCAGTGTAGATTGGTAACTTATTTAGAGCTTGAAGGTTTCTACCCCTCAGTTTTCCTGGTCTACTATTTTTCCTGTTTTTCCACTCAACCTGTTTGCATATAGGGTGACACTTTTTACAGGGTAACTTAAGCCAAGTCCCTGCCCTGAGGAACTTACAAACTAAATGTTGCTAGTGGACTGTTGGTAGAGGGAGGAGAAAAAGGGAAGAGGAAAGAGTCATAGGAGAATATATTCAAATGTGGACACCTTGTAAGCAGCCATGTCCGTGGAGTAAGAATGGTGGTGGCAGATTCCAGATGATTAGCTGGAGAGGTTTCTGTGACCTAGAAAGAGATGGTTCTGGGTTTTTTAAGGGTGTTTGATGCGCCATAAATGACTGATGTAGATATGTGTCGGCTAGTAATACCCTAATACCTTTCCTAGATTTATTTGTAAGCACTCTGTTTCTTGCTCACTTGTGTGCACATGTACACGTGTACACACACACATATACAAGCAAGCAAACAAAAACACGGTGTGTGTGTGTGTGTGTGCCCCCTTCAGACTGCTTCATTTCCTACAATGGGAAAACTCTGAAAAGTTTTTTTCAAGTTAACGGAATATTTTTAAGATAAAGTTTTCCCATCAGCCTGGGCAGTCTGAGATTTCAATGGAAGACAATCCATAGCATTAGGAGAGTGAGAATGCCTATGTATACTGTAAGCATATGCAACACTCAAATCCAAGATGCATTTCTGCACCTGGAGGGGTAGAGCTGTTTTCATGAGCGGGCCTCACAGAACCGGCTTTTTTTTGCTTGTGAATTGCTGCTTGCCTTCTTCTGGTTTGGAGGCACAAGAAGCAGGCACTGCGCATCAACTTTTCCTTTGACTGGGTTCCTTCCTTGTGGCTCATGTTTTTTTGTCTCCCCTAATGGGTTTTGACTACGTGTGATTTTGGCTTTAGGCACAGTCCCTGGAACATAACCCCCACGTAAGTTGTGGGCTTACTGAATCCGCTCTGCCACAAGTGCAATATTTACCCTTAGACCAGACAATCTCTCTCAGTTGCCCACTCCATTTGAAATACGATTACAATACAGTGGTGCCTCGCGAGACGAAAAGAATCCGTTCCGCGATTCTCTTTGTCTAGCGGTTTTTTCATCTTGCGAAGCAACCCTATTAGCGGATTAGCGCTATTAGCGGTTTAGCGGCTTAGCGGCTATTAAAGGTTTAGCGGCTTAGCTGCTAAAAGGCTATTAGCGGCTTAGAAAAAGGGGGGGGGCGGAAAAAAAATCGCAAGACTTGCAAGACGTTTTCGTCTTGCGAAGCAAGCCCATAGGGAAAATCGTCTTGCGAAGCAACTCAAAAACGGAAAACCCTTTCGTCTAGCGGGTTTTCCGTCTTGCGAGGCATTCGTCTTGCGGGGCAACACTGTACAGACCTGGGTTACAGAGGCTTAATAATGATTAAAACAAGATAATTGTGCATGAAGCATTTCTGAACACTGGAAAGAATTCTATAAATGGGCAAGGTAATTATATGATAAAGTGTAACTATATGAATGTAGAATTAACTGGGTCAGCCTTTCCCAACCTGGATCTGTCCTAGCTATGCTGGCTCAGGCTGATGGGATTTGTAATCCCAAAACCCATGGAGCACACCAGGTTGGGAAAGGCAGAAATAGCAGGTGGTGGCCAGCAAAATAAGCAACCACCTTGCCCAAGCTTTGTTATACGTTGTCACTTCTCTTTCCACCCTACATGTTCTTCCAACAATTCATCATTGTCCTCTTTTTGTTCACAGCCGGCTCTTCTCTAACGTGACCGATGCCAAGTATCCAGACACCATTGCCTTGACCTTTGACCCCAATAACCAGTGGCTCTCCTGCGTTTACAACGATCACAGCCTGTATGTGTGGGATGTCAAGGATCCCAAGAAAGTGGGCAAGGTTTATTCGGCATTGTACCACTCCTCTTGTGTTTGGAACGTTGAGGTAAGCAAGGATTAAGAAGGCTGCCTTGCGGTGGGGGGAGTTGAGGGGAGCAGTTGTTTGTGCAGTGGCAATAAGATAGTTTCTCTCTCTCCTTGTTGGCTGGTTGCAAAACTGAAGTGAGATTAAAATTAAGATTAAAATTCTCATTGTGGCAAGAATCCCGAAACAATCTTCCCTCCGCTTTTGTTAATGGGTTTTCCCTGCTTGCTTGGGTTCAGGCGCTAGGTAGAAGCAATACAGTCGTACCTTGGTTTTTGAACAGTTTAGTTCTCGGACATTTTGGTTCCCAAACGCTGCAAACCCAGAAGTGACTGTTCTGGTTTGCGAACTATTTTTGGAAGCCGAACATCTGATGCGGCTTCCGATTGGCTGCAGGAACTTCCTGCATCTAATCAGAATCTGTGCTTTGGTTTCCGAACGTTTTGGAAGTTGAATAGACTTTCAGAACGGATTCTGTTTGACTTCCAAGGTACAACTGTATTTTGCAACTGCAGTAATGAACTGCCTGAATCCATGGGGATGGAGACTAATTGTGCAGGGGGAAGAAGAAGAAGAAGAAGAAGAAGAAGAAGAAGAGGAGGAGGCGGTGGAGGCGGAGGAATTACCCTTCCTAGTCATGCAGCTGAAAATTTAATGCACACATTGAGGACAGGGCCCAAGCTGAGGCATTTTCTATTGATTTAAAATATTCCACCTTAAAGTGAAGGTGTCCTTGGAAAGATATGAACCTGATGTTTCCCTGATGCAGGGATGGCCAGCATGGTGCTCTCCAGCTGTTGATAAAGTAAGGCTTGCATCAAGCTCCAGCCAGCATTGCCAGTGGTCTCATCCAGCAACATCTGGAGAGCACCGTTGGCTACCCCTGCCCTGCTCTTTGGCCTCCAAGAATAGCCCATGTAGTTACAAATACTGTGTGGCTTCTTTTGCTCTTCCATTCTGTATACATAAGGGTGCAGGAAGAAAATGTGCTATGACCACGGCCTGCAACTCGAGAACGTTTGGCTTCCTTGCTTCTAACTTTAGGAAAGGATATGTTGCAGATCTCTCCAATCAGTGCTTTCTTTTTCTGTCACCATCTTCTGAAATCAGCTTTTAACTCAAAAACTCCATTGTGTAGATGTGTACTGAGCACCTGTCCCAACAGTGCTGCTGCTTTGTGCATCCAGAAACTTTCTCTTAGGGGGTTAGTCGGAAAAGGAACAAAGGGAACTAAGTAGGCATTTCAGATCACCTCCTTTTCTCAGTACAGTACTGGTTTCAGTTATGCCAGAGTGTCAAAGGATCATAGCAATAGCAGAGTGCTGCTCCCTGGTGGTGTGTGCAAGAGTGTTTAAAGATATTTGCTCCTTTCTACTTCTAATGACCATTTGGAGTGTTATCATGTAACAGCAGGGCTCCTATTTAAAGGACAAATTGCCGTCATGTTCTGGCCAGGTTATTTTATATAAATGGAAATGAAGGTTTAATTTGCCTAGGGAGACCACTTTCAAACGTGGACAGGGCAGGCCTCATGCTCTTTAATGATTATGTAGAACAAGGAATTTTGGCAGAAGTGGCTTGGTTTGCAGGGTGTAAAAAGGCCGTACCTATCAAAGTCACCTCTCCAACACATCTGTTTAGCAGCAAGGAGCCCTGTTCTCTCCTGAATTTTGCCATCCTCAGTTTGGTGCAAATGCATTTCCTCTTTTTTATTGTCAAATACAGGTGATACTTTTCTTACTTTGCTTTGTTTGCCTGTCTTCAGGTGTACCCTGAGGTGAAGGATAGCAACCAGTCTTGCTTGCCCCCAAACTCTTTCATCACCTGCTCTTCTGATAACACCATCCGCCTCTGGAACACAGAGAGCTCCAACATCCATGGGGCGGCTCTCCATCGGAACATTCTGAGCAATGTAAGAACATATTTTGGTCTGGAACTCATCACATGGGATTGTTCTTAATGCAGGACAAAAGGAGCTGAGTAGCCAGATTTATACCAAATGTGCAATCTAGGCAATGTTGCTCTGAAATGCAGCAACCAGGTTAAGTTTTGCTTGTGAGAGCAGCCTTGGATTTTGTTTGCAAGTTGTAGCCTGTATGGATCCTTTTTCTGTTCCACGTTTTTACTGTGTTATGTAAGAACCAGCGCCCAAAGTGCCTTAACCAGTATAATCAAACACTCCTGCTGTTCACCACTTTGGGGTAGCTTTTGGGCTGTGTAGCAGGTTATAGATAAAGCCATAACATAAGGAACGTCTTGTTCTTTTTCTTATCAGGACTTGATGAAAATTATATATGTAGATGAAAACACTCAGACCCTCCTGGACACAGAATATAACACTGGTGGGGGTGCCGACAAGGCTGACACGCAGGCCCTAGATGCAAAAGTGGGGATTCGTACAGTGTGTGTGAGCCCTACTGGGGAGCACCTGGCATCAGGTGACAGGATAGGTACTCTCAGGTAAGGTTTTTTTATTATTATTAAAGAAGGCTAAACTTCTGTAGCAATACTGAAAGGTCCTTTCTGACCCTCTGACTGTGCTCTTCTCAGGATCTATGAGCTGAAATCCCTGAGAGAAATGCTGAAGGTGGAAGCTCATGATTCTGAAATTCTCTGCCTTGAGTACTCCAGACCTGAGACAGGTAAGATTAGCTCAACCCCAACTCTGGCTTATTTGTTGGCATTCTGAGTTTAACTCTTTAGCTCTGTTAGCAGAGATCATTCAGTTCCAGATATAAAATTTGAAGGAGACAAAATAGTCTATTACTAAAGCCACAGGCACATATAGGCCATTGCTCCTTTAAAAAATTAATCGCAGAATGAAACGTTGTTGTTGTTGTTGTTGTTGTTGTTGTTGTTGTTGTTGTTGTTGTTGTATGCTGCCCTTCTGACTAGGTTGCCCCAGCCACTCTGGATGGCTCCAAACAAAACACATTAAAAACTTCCCTATACAGGGCTGCCTTCAGATGCCTTCTAAAAGTCTCATAGTTGTTTATTTCCTTGACATCTGATGGGAGGGCATTCCATAGGGTGGGTGCCACTAACAGAGGGCCCTCTGCTTGGTTCCCTGTAACTTCACTTCTCACATTGAGGGAACCTCCAAAAGGCCCCTGGACCTCTGTCAGGGACAGAGACAGTACTTCTGGTATACGGGGCCAAGGCCATTTAGGGCTTTAAAAGTCAGCACCAAAACTTTGAATTGGGCTGGGAAATGTACCAGGAGCCAATACAGATCTTTTAGGATTGGTGTTATATGGTCCCGGCTGCCACTCCCAGTCACCAGTCTAGCTGCCGCATTCTGGATTAGTTGTAGTTTCTGAGTCACCTTCAAAGGTAGCCCCACGTAGAGCGCATTGCAAGTGGGAGATAACTAGACAGTCTGAAGGCAGGTAGGGTCTCAGCCGGCGTGCCAGATGGAGCTGGTAGAGAGTTGCCCTGGACACAGAATTAACCTGTGTCTCCATGGACAGCTGTGAGTCCAAAATGACTCCCAGTCTGTGCCCCTGGTCCTTCAGGGGCACAGTTACCCTATTCAGGAGCATGGAGTCCCCTACATATGTCCACCCCCCTGTCCCCCAGAAGCAGTACTTCCATCTTGTTGGGATTCAACCTCAGTCCATTAACCACCAACCATCCTCCAACATGAGGAAAGCACCATTGTATCACAACATACTGCAGTCCTTTTGAAGTCCAGCTTGAGAAAATGCATTAGCAACTAAAAGATTTTCTCATTTCATATCTTTATGACAGGGTTGAAGCTTCTAGCATCAGCCAGTCGAGACAGACTGATTCATGTTTTGGATGCAGGGAAGGATTATAGCCTGCAACAGACACTGGATGAGCATTCGTCTTCTATCACAGCTGTGAAGTTTGCAGGTAACGGGGTCAAGTGCAACTGTCTTTGTTAACTCGACAAATGTTCCTCATTGCAGTTACAAGTAGCTGATAGACATTTGACAGTTTTCACAGCTGTGTGCTGCATTTGGGTACCCACTTCCCATAACATTCTGGTTCCTTTCCTTTCTGCCTCTGGAATACTGCAAACTTTCCGAGTAGAGGAAAGGCAACTGGTTAGTGCAGCAGACATCATGCAACAAAACATTCATTTGCTCATATTCAGCGTTCAGTTGGGGAAGGGCCACAGATCAGTGGGAAAGCATCTGCTTTGCATCCATAAAGTCACAGATTTCATCATTGGCATTTCGAGGTAGGAGTGGGGAGACCCTTGTCTGCAACTCTGGAGAGCTAGGCTAGATGCGCCAATGGTCTGAATTGGTATAAGGCTGCTGTCTATGTTCACACATTATCAGAAAGTTATCTTCACCATTTCCCCCTGCCAAATTGACCTTAGTTTGTGTTCTCCTATCACATGTGGTTTGGCTCTTTTGCATGGGTGATGTGGAGCTATTTGCAGATGCGGTACACTTACTCTCTATTCGCGGTTCAGATTTTTCGTTAGCAAAATTTGTATATCGCCTAATTGTAAATACTGTAAAACCTCTAAAGTGGTTTGGGGTGGGGGGAGATTGTATGGGTTAACTAAGTGTGGTGTAGCAATACATAAATTGGATTTGAAACCTCTGTGCAGAGGCTTACTGAGCCAAGAAGCTCACTGGGTAAACTTTGGCCAGCCATGCTTTCTCAGCCTGGCCTACCTCACAGGATGGTTGTGAGAATCAAACAGAAACGGACCTGTTTGCTATTCTTCACCCTGGCATCCATTGTGCTCCTTCAAATGGAACAGAGCCTGGTTTGCTAGGGTGGAAAAGTGCATTGCTTTTTTTAAATATATATTAAATATATATATTTAATATATATTAAAATATCATCTCCAAACCCTGGTTCTCTCCAGATGTTCTGGCCTACAAGTCCAATCAACCCCAGCCATGGTGATGGAGCCTGTACTCTAAAACACAATGTTTGAGAAGGCTGCTTTAAAATACAGACTGGCAGGAATAGTAATATGCCATATACAGGAAGGACTGTAAGGCACAAATAAATTGAAGAAATCTAAGTTTTGTATTGCATGTCCGCTTGCTCATGGGCCTACCTGTTTCTCTCCTTCTCTAGCCAATGATGGAAAGGTGAAAATGATCAGCTGTGGAGCAGATAAGAGTATCTATTTCCGCACTGCACAGAAGGTAATTCCATTAGAGTATTCTGTCTTTATGTAACTTCTGGAGTAGAGCGCTATTTTAAGAGTGAAGAAGAGAGGAAAGGCTTTGGATGGTGGTCCAGGCCTTGTTTCTTTCCTATCTTGACTTAAAAAAAAAAATTATAAAAAAAATATAGAAGAAACTATGTTGCAGGAGGCCTGCTAGTAATGGAGCCATTCAGCCACTGTATAATTTCAGCCTCTTTATGTAACTGTTTCGAAGGCGGGCGCTTTTATCTCTTGCTTGGAAAGAATACCCTGGTCTTCATTGAAGCACCCTAGTCTTCATTGCTGCTGTTTTTTCTTGCACTTAGACAGCTGATGGGGTTCTCTTTACTCGTACGCACCATGTTGTTAGGAAGACAACTCTGTACGACATGGATGTGGACCCTAACTGGAAGTATGCTGCTATTGGATGCCAGGACCGCAATATCAGGTTGGTTCACTAGCTGGGATCTAAACATTTTATTATTCCTTAGCTTAGACTTGAGAACAAGTTCCATTCAACTCAGTGTGTCATTTCTTAATAAACATGACCAATGGAGTCAAATCAATGTTTAAGATTTCCTGGCCTATGTATACCAACCTTCCCCACCCTGGTGCCTTCTAGATTTTTGGGCTGCAGCTTGCATCAGCCCCAGCCACCAAGGTCAATGATCAGGGATGGTGGGAGTTTATTATTATTATTATTATTATTATTATTATTATTATTATTATTATTAATCAGTCAGTCAGTCAATCAATTAGATTTCCTCCCTTGCCTTGTGCTGTAAGAGCCTAGGGTTGGTTACATAGAGTTGTAGTCCAACAGCATATGGAGAGCACCAGGTTGGGGAAGGTGGGTGAAGGCACTACTAATCAGAAAACCATCCTGTGAGTGCCGGACTTGTTGCAACTTCACTATTCAAAGAACCAATGCCTGGGACTAGCTTCTTCTCACTATTCAGTCACACCTAATGCAAAGACAGTATGCAGAAATCTATTGAGAGAGGATTTCTTGTACTGGCCAGGGGTTAGTGTAGGTGTCATTTTGAGGCCCCTTCTGATGCTATGATCCCAAGAGAGGAGTGGCAGGAGCACTCATGTGATTGAATAGTGTCGGATGGGGAGGTGAAGTGGCCACTAGGTTAGATATCTCTTTTGAAAGGGAGGTGGATCTTTACAGCTAATAGCTATTTAGGGCCAAATGAAACTGTCACATCTTCAAGACCCATCAGACAAGAGGTCCTAAATGCTAGAAGTCTGTCTGGTGAGCTTCCCAGAGATATTTGGCTGGCCACTCACTGTTTGAACTAGATTTTATATATTTTATATTTTATTAGCTTTCTCAGGGCAGTTCAAAAGATAAAAATACGAGAGGAAACAACAAAGCAATAATGCCCCTCCCACAAACACATTTAAAAGGTCGTAGAATATTCATCAGCCAAATGGTTAAAGAGGAACATTTTTGCCTGGCTCCTAAAAATATGTAATGAAGGTACCAGCTGAACCTCCCTTGGGAGAGCATTCGGCAGATGGGGAGCCACTGCAGAAAAGGCCTGTTCTCATGTTGCCACCCTTCGGACCACATGTGGAGGAGGCAATGAAGAAGGGCCTCAGAGGATGAATGCAGAGTCTGGGTCGGTTTATATGAGAGGCAGTGCTTTGAGGTATTACAGTCCTGAGATGCAATTCTTGTTCTGCTATAGCAGGGCCTTATTAATGATAATGTCTTGTTTCCCTCTCAGGATTTTCAACATTAGCAGTGGGAAGCAAAAAAAGCTATACAAGGGATCCCAAAGTGAAGATGGCACCCTCATTAAAGTAAGGCCTTTATCGGTTTTGCCTCCCACGGCTCCATTTTTCCTTGTGTTTGCTTTTTATTATGTGCAGCTTGATTTGGTGCTCTGATTGAGGGGCTAGATTTCAACTTAATTCCATGCAATGTGAAGACCTTACGTTTGGGAATATGTCATTTGTTGCTGGTGTATGTTTGTGCAAATTGCAGAATGGATAATCTATTCTCAATACATTCTGGGTATAAATGAAAGATAACATTATAAAGATGTGGATAAAATTACTACCATTACTCCAGAAAGTAAGTAGTTAAAATCCATAAGAATCACTCTGCGCTAAAAACGGGGATGAATAAATAAATAAGTATTGGCTTCGGGTTTCTCAATAAAAGTGCTGTGTTTTAAAGTGGCATCTGTGGATAATTTATCTGCTGCTACTCTAAACTGATCCATATGGACAAGAAATCCGGTGGTGCTGAATTAGCATATTTGAATATGGTACATTCTCCCCATTGTGCACGTCATGCGTTATCCCGGGGCACTTCCTCTATTCCCTTTTGATGATTCTTGCATGCTGTGTTGTGGAAACATATACAATAACTTTGCATTCAGTCTCCAAAACAGTTTTGTTTATTGTTTCTCGGCTCTCTTAGCCTTGATTCAGGAAGCGCCTCTCCTAGCCAGATGAGTTTGTTTGCTTTCCAGATTTTTTCAGCAAAGCAGATTGCTAGAAATCTGTGACACAGAAGATGACAATATTGCCAGGGTGGAGAGATCTGAGAATCTAGAACAATGCTAACATTAGATAAATCCTATTCTTCTGAGATATTCTTGGTTGGATAGTGTTTTCGAGGTTACCAGCATGAGTTTGACCAAACTGCGGGAGGTAGTGGAGGACAGAGGTGCCTGGTGTGCTCTGGTCCATGGGGTCACAAAGAGTCGGACGCGACTAAATGACTAAACAACAACATTCTTCTGAGGGGATCCTGACGTCTAATGCCTAGTATGTATAAACCAGCTACATGGCTGGTGAACTCTACCCTCCCTTCAAGGTTTTTTGGGGGGAGAATAGGAGAGTTTGGATCCAAAGCCCCATCTGCTTTTTAGTTAACTTGGTTAGCATGTGATTACAAAATATGCATTATTATCCTCTGGCCTGGATAATGCTCATACCATGAAACATATCCACCTGGTTGTGTGCACTTAGCAAAATCCTGCAAACTAGACTTTCTAAAGCCAAGAGACCATAGCACAGATATATCTTATTGTTATTCTTTTTTCTCTGTTCTGTGTCATTTGTTTCAGGTGCAAACAGATCCCTCTGGTCTCTATATTGCTACAAGCTGCTCTGACAAGAACCTTTCTATCTTTGATTTCTACTCAGGCGAGTGCGTGGCCACAATGTACGGGCATTCAGGTAAATCGCTGAGCCTTTGTTGATGGTGAATGTTGCTTGAAAATTCTTACTGAGTTACATTCCATAGTTGTTTTTTTTTAATGAAGGGAGCATGTTATAGTACAACATTTGGTAGTACCACATTTGATAAAATATATTTTCATAGAAATAATACTTTTCTCTATGTTGAGTACTTAGGTGAGCTGGTGCAATTGCAAATGAGGTGCCCTTTAGATGTTTCAGCAGTGGCATGGTTTATTTTAATTAATCCATATAGTGGATTTGTTGAATGGTTTCATATGATTTTTGACTGGTGGCCTCGAAGTGGCTCATAATTAAAAAAAACAAAAACACAATTGATACATTAAAAGCCACATTCTTAGAAAAGAATTAGCCTGGCTTCATCAGGAGTTGGTACCTGGCATTGTCTTTGCCTACCTGCCCTCTTCCCTTCCACACAGGACAGTTGGTAGTAGTGGGTCCTCTGGTGAGGGAAGGATCAGTCCACCTGCTGCTTTGTCTTTGCCTCCTGCCCTCTGTAATCCTTCAGGTTTGTTTTGGTATTACATGTGAACTGACGCAATCGGCAAGGGTTAGGCAACGGATCCTGCAGGGCTTATAGTCATAGAACTCCAAGCTGTTCATTTGAAGTCATTGCACACGACAGTGCTTCAAGATCTGTTCTCCTTGTCCTTCTGACATTTACAGAGATTGTAACTGGGATGATGTTCAGCAATGACTGCAAACACTTGATCTCCGTCTCTGGTGACAGGTAAGCAAAGGGATATTTCTGCCTTAGATCTTCCTTTCATCAGTGGGTATGGATGCTTAAAAGTTACTTTAAAAAAAAAAGGGGTGGATGTGCAGTGGCCTTGACTGTGCATTGGAAGCGTATTGACATAGGCCTCCCACTGTGAGGTATGATAATATTTGAAGAATTATGGGGAAAGAGGTGCATCCTGGGCTTTCTGGAGTGTCAGTATGAAGGTGGGAAGCAGTGGGCGCCAGGCAGGTACACTGAGGAGACGGCACTGAGCTTCTAGCCACAGGTATTGAGGAGGATATAGAAACTTGCAGGAGAACGAATCTTCTCCAGGAACGTGTATCTGGGTAGAATTGGGGTTCTTGAGTAAGACAAGACTTGTTTCTGTGTTTCCTGCTTGCAGCTGCATTTTCATCTGGCGTCTGAGTTCGGAGATGACCATCAACATGCGGCAGCGCCTGGCAGACATGAAGCAGAGAGGGAAGCAAGCGGAGAAAGCACAGCCAGGCAAACCAGCTGGGCTTGCCAGGTAGGAGGAAGCCACTGCGGACAGTTTTCAGTAATAAGAGGTGTTTACTGGCTGCATAATCAAGTGGACATTCAGATGTGGAGGGACGCAGGTGGTGCTGTGGTCTAAACCAGTGAGCCTCTTGGGCTTGCCGATCAGAAGGTCGGCAGTTCGAATCCCCGTGACAGGGTGAGCTCCCGTTGCTCTGTACCAGCTCCTGCCAACCTAGCAGTTTGAAAGCATGCCAGTGCAAGTAGATAAATAGGTACCACTTCGGTGTGAAGGTAAACAGTGTTTCCGTGTGCTCTGGCTTCCGTCACGGTGTTCCGTTGCGCCAGAAGCGGTTTAGTCATGCTGGCCACATGACCCAGAAAGCTGTCTGTGGACAAACACCGGCTCCCTCAGCCTGAAAGTGAGATGAGCGCCGCAACCCCATAGTCGCCTTTGACTGGACTTAACCATCCAGGGGTCCTTTACATTTCCCCCCCCCCAGATGTGACCATCTTCTAATGCAGGGTTGGAGAACTGTGGCCCTTTGGATGTTGTTGGACTTCAACACCCATGAGCCCCAGCCATCTTGGACAGTGGTCAGGGATGATGGTTGCTGTAGTACAGCAACTTCCAGAGGGCCACAGATTCCTCATTCCTTTGTTAATGGAAAGAGTCCATCAGCAGAATAGTGAGGGGGTGAGCTATGTTCAATGATTTTCCCCCTAAGTGTGCTCCAGAGGGTCCCCCAACCCACTGGAGTAGATTTTTGGAGGGTGTGGGGAAATTGCTGAGCATTTCAATGGCTAACTTCTTCCATTAGCTGAAGATCACTATTCCACCCCATGTTTTACTTTGCATTTGTTGATGACAGGAGACTACGAACTTGTGTGATAGTTCTGCATCTGTACGAAGGGGTTTTCATTAAACAACTATGGGCTCTCTAATCTATATCACTGTCATACCTTATGTTCTTCTGGTAACATTATGGGAGGTTTCCTGCTATTCATGGGGTTACACTACCTCTGAAGGAGCTGGTACATAACTTGGGGTACTTCTGCATCCTTCTATTAGCTTTGGCTGGTGGTTCAGCTGCACCCCTATCTGGACAGGGATAGCCTAACTTCTGTGGCCTATGTTCTGGTAACCTCTACGTCAGATTACTGCAATGTGTTGTATGTAGGGTTGCCTCTGAAGACTGTTCGGAAACTTCAGCTGGCGCAGAATTCAGCAGCCAGGTTGCTCACTGGAGCAAGATGGTTTGAGCATTTTACACAGATCCTGGCCTGACTGCACTGCTTGCCAGTTATTTTCCGGGTCCAAATAAAAGTGCTGGTTTTGATCTATAAAGCCTTGAAGGCTCAGAACTACAATACCTCAAGAACCATCTTTCCTCATATGAACCAGCCTGGTTCATCATCTGAGGCCCTTCTTCATATGCCTCCTCAACATGAGGTCTGGGAGGTGGCAACATAAGAATAGGCCTTTTCTGTGGTGGCACCCTGCTTGTGGAATGCTGCCTCAAAAAGGCTTTCTTGGAGCCTTCATTACATATCTGTAGGCGCCGGGCAAAAACATTCCTCTTCTCCCAGGCCTTTAAAACTGTGGCATTTTAAACTGTGTGTGGGAGGGCTATTGATTTTGTTTGTTATTATGCTATATAGTTTTGTGTTTTTATATTGTAAACTGCTCTGTGATCTTTGGATGAAGGGTGTGGTATAATAATAATAATTAATAATAATAATAATAATAATAATAATAATAATAATAATAATAATAATAAAATAGAAGGGGCACAGAGCAGAGCCTCACCAGAATGGCCTGAGGGTAAGGCCTGAGAAGGGTTGTGTGGGCTTCGTTTTACTTTCTTTTCTTGTCCACGCTGTCCCTTAGGTATGTGCTTTATTTAGTTTAGCCTAAAAATATCTACCATTATCAAGCATGTTTCTCAGAAAGCCTTTGCTCAAGCATAGAATTTTATTCTGAGCAAAGGAAGATCACGTGAGTGGTGTTAGCCTGATGTCTGGATGTCAGTACAATGGAACACACAGTACAGTCAAACCTTGGTCCCCAAATGCCTTCGTTTTGGAACGTTTTGGCTCCTGAATGCCAAAAACCCAGAAGCAAATGCTCCGGTTTTCAAACGTTTTTTGGAAGCCGAACGTCCGACGCAGCTTCCGCTTGACTGCAGGAAGCTCCTGCAGCCGGTCGGAAGCCGCGCTTTGGTTGTTGAACATTTCGGAAGCTGAACAGGCTTCTGGAACTGATTACGTTCAACAACTGAGGTTTGACTGTATGTGGTAGCAATAGTCAGATTGTATAGCTATGAACAAACTTGTCTAGCTGGGATGGGATGGGGAAACAGGTAACACTCGAGATGTTGCTGAACTACAACTCCCATTCCTGCCCATTGGCTATGCCTTCTGGGGCTGGAGTTGGAGTCCAACAGTATCTAGTATTTTGTTGTCAGAAAGGGGGAGGTAGATGAGGAGGAAAGCATTTTGCATTTGCGTTGGTATTGCAAAGTTCTAATCCCTGCTGAGTCATTGCTGACATTAAATCCTGCTGGTGCCTCAGTAATATCCTTCCCTGCTATGCCTCAGCAGTTTGCTGTGGAGAAGCCTTTTCAAGCCAAAAATGCTGGAGCTGTGGAGCAGTGTTCTTTTTATAGCAAACTCTTTGCCATTCCAGCAGCTGCACACACAGCCTTTGCCTTTTTTGAGGGGCAGCCTGTGTGTCAGGCACTGCCGGTTTCAGTCAATATTATAAAGCTTGCTTGTCACATGCTCTTGCTGGGAAAGGTTGAGTCTGCCACATACCAAGCCCTGCAGCTTGTTGGAAAACACGTTTGGTGACCTCTTTGATTAAGCTGGGTGCTGTCTGTCTGGTCAGCATTTAAAAGGATTCTTTCCTGCACTGGCCCTAGTTGTTGGATATGAGTAGAGAGACCAGAGGAGCACTGCTTGATGAATGTCGGAAGGATGTAAGCTTCACTGTAAGGAGCTTAAAAGCTGGGGAAGTTGTGTAAGAAACTTTTTTTTAAAATGGGTATTCATTTATTTTAGATTGGATTGAGGTTACATCAATTTTGTTGCTGCTTGATGTTTGTAAGGATGTTGGTTCGTGTGTAGCTAGGGAAAAGTTCTGCAGAAATCTTTTAATTGCTCTGTGATATTTTTAGCCCACCTTTCTAGCTCCATTGTTTAAACTTGGTATAAGAAAGGAGGTGATGGATGTAAGATGCATTTGGAAGCCAGCTAGTGCCTTTGGTAGTGTTACTGAGAGCACTACAAAATGAATGAGCAGAAACCTTGTGGAATGTTCTGAGAATTATGTTCTGCTGATGTGGCAAGCGGGAGAATGGAAATGCTTCAGTTTGAAATGTCATGTCCTCTGTCCTCTTAGCAGATATAATATGGACCTGTTCTTACAAAGCACAGGTTTAGGAATGTGCCATTGGCCACATGTGCTCCCTCCTCTGCTTCCGATGTATTTCAAATCATGGTTTGCTGTGACTCAGAAAATTATGGACAGTACTTTCCCTCCAAATCGCGATTTGAAAGCCTGGTTTGGACTGAAGTTGGTTGCAAACCATACTTTGGAAGTGGCACTAATTGTGGTTACAGATTTGGATGTTGCAGCAAACTAGAGTTAGAGCATACTAAGAAAATGAGAAAATGAAACACAACAGGGTGGGGGGGGAGTGTGAGGAGGAGAGAAGATGGGAGCCCACTGCACATTTTCTCAGCCATGGTGGTTGTTTTGGTTTTTTGGAAGACTGCGTTCCTGATATATGTCTCACTGTGATGGAATACGCATCTGATAATCACTGAGACTCACATGGATCCCTGCATCTATTTATATAATAATGAATTAATTTGTGGTACATCTTAAAAAATTTCTTTTGCTTATGCTTTATTCAAGTTTTAGATTCTAAGGACAGGGATTTTTTTTTGCTGGATTCCTTTTGTCCTGATGATGATTTCCTGTTACTGTATTCTGTTATAACTGTTTTTAATTTTAATTTTAAGTTGTTTCAACCTGCCCTGGGACATGCGGGCAAATAATGCTGTGTTGTTGTTGTTTTACTTGTAGAGAGGAGTGGGAGAAGATTTTCAGGCCAATGTTTATACCAGGGGTAGGGAATGTATAGCCCTCCAGATGTTGTTGGACTCCCCAACTCCCAGCACGGCCTATGGTCAGGGATGATGGGATATGTAGTTCAACAAAATGTGGAGGACCACAGGTTGATTTATACAGTTTAAAAACACATTTTGCTTTCTTGTTGTTGTTCCCCTGCCTTGTCCAATTATCCTTATGAAAGCTTCCCCTACCCTCTCAACAAGAAATATTTTATATTATCTAAACATAAGCTGTGAAGCTTAAAGGCTTTTATGAACTAAGATCATGGTTATAGCTTTCCCTTCTTTTTTCCTGGTGATTTTGGATGAAGTGTACATGTCAAGAGAGAATTAAAGTTGGCTTTGATGAGCACTTCTGTGCTGAAGGTAGATCGCTTGTACTCAGTGCTACTTTTCTAGAAAAAGAGGTGCCAGAACTCACCACGGACACTGCCCTCATTCTCTTAGAATGGCAATGATGCCCACCTGACAGGTGGAAGAACTGAGTTGGTGGGATTATTTGGTGGAAGCGGTAAAGCAAACCAATACACATTGAGTAGCACATGGCAGTGAATCAACGCAGTTCTGACCATAGCCTGGATAAAGAGGATAAATATCATTGTAACAAGGCATGTCATTTAATATCTTTAAATATACATATGCATGCCATCTAAAAAAGCTTTAAAAAATAAGCTAGCATTCTTAGTGCCTAAGAAAACAAGTTACACCCTATGTTTATAAGTTTCCCCCCTCTTTTATGGAAAATTCTCCAGTCTTATCGGTGATGCACATGCAACCAGGGTAAAACCTCAGTGCCTAGGACTTGCCGATCGCATGGTCGGCGGTTCGAATCCCTGCGGCGGGGTGAGCTCCCGTCTTTCGGTCCCAGCTCCTGCCCACCTAGCAGTTTGAAAGCACCCCTAAGTGCAAGTAGATAAATAGGGACCGCTTTATAGCGGGAAGGTAAACGGCATTTCCGTGTGCTGCGCTGGTGCTGGCTCGCCAGAGCAGCTTCGCCACGCTGGCCACGTGACCCGGAAGTGTCTTCGGACAGCGCTGGCCCCCGGCCTCTTAAGTGAGATGGGCCCACAACCCTAGAGTCGGACACGACTGGCCCGTACGGGCAGGGGTACCTTTACCTAATTTGAAAAATAAGGATTCTCTATTTGCAGAAAGGAAGTTGGTGCCCCTTAGCCCTATTTCTGTACTGCTGGCAATTTGCACATTGCAGGGAAAGTTATTCCCTCTCCAGGCTGCCCTGTATTTGGAAGATTAAGTTATTTTTGTCTCCAGAATAATGCCTAGCTCAAAACACCTACCTGCAGCACTCATAGCAGTTGCTAAGGGCAATCATGGCTTTCCTTGTGTAGAGTCATGGAACAGGTGTGATGTCAATGGGTTTAAATGTGACATTTCTTGGAAATGGGCAGTTTTGGCTGCTTTGGTTCAGTTCTTGCTTTGCCTGAAAGGGGAAAATGTGAGTCTCTCTGGGGAAGGTTTCTGCTCAGAGCTCATACCAGGAATGCCTGCCTTATCCATTTTGATTAAGGACCCATCCCAGCTATTCTAAGCACTCTTTTATTGTGTAGCAGTGCAACATAACACTGAGTTATGGTGTGCTGATCTTACATTGCCAACTGTCTTTTCTCATAACTACATTCTTTGACCTTCCTTCCTTTCCCTGCAGGGATCAAATTTGCCTCTGTGCAGCACAACAAAATTCATATTGTGCTTTATAAAATTAAAGCATGAAAGGATGAGAAGAAATATCTAAAGGCACAAATAAATAAGTTTCAAGTGCCTTAGATTATTAGTGGGAGAGATTGCTTAACGTTGCCTCAGAGTGCTATGTTAAGGATTTGTGGTGGTGTGTGTTTCTAGCCTGTTTAATATGCTTTCACCATATCTGTGGACCAGTGGCACTTTTAGGTAAGTTTTCTGGAAGTCAGAAAGACTTACATCTAATTTCCATCTTCATCCCTCCCGTTTAAAGTTGCTGTGGCTTAATGGTGGTGTTCTGGAGCTGTGCACAAGAGTGTTTTGAATAAATAATGTTGATGCACACCGTATACCTTGTGCCAATGCTTCTCTTCATTCTGCCTTTCTAGGCACGAGTCGGTCTCTGTCCTCTCATCTGCGCCAGTGCTGTCATCAGACAGTGACAAAGATGGTGAAGACGAAGGGAATGAGGAAGATGAGCTACATGGGCTGCAGTCCTTCCAAGTCCAGACTAATGGCAACACTGAAAGGGATTCAGGTACATGGGAAGAGGAGCATATGGTATTCTGGAAGGAAGTTTAACCAAAGATAGGGAATAAAGAAAGAACCAGGAGAGAAGCTGACAGCTGGGTTGCACAGTTCCTTGCTGTTTTCTTCACACAGCCCTCATGGTCCTTGCAAGGAGAAAGTACTGTGAACCAGCAGCGCACAAGCACACTTGGCAGCCATTCCCCACAATTGTGCCAGCATGCGCTTCCAATTCTTACAGAGTGTTTCTCCAAACAATTGTGGCCCTGGAGTAATTCATGTAGAGAGAGTATGGCAGAAAATGACTCAGAATGAACCCGGCACGAAAATCTAGGACAATGGCTGCATGAGATTGTCCAACTGAATGTATATCTGTGCCAACAGCTGACAATGCAGGAGTTTGCTAAGCTGAGATGGGAAGTTGGTGCTGTTATTCCCACTAGGGAATCATAAGAATTCTAAGCAGATTACTACTTAATTAACCTACTAAAACGAGTGATATGTGCATGCATATATTCATAGGGCTTAAAAAGAAATGGGTTCTGTTGTGATTTATCTTTGTTTAATCAAAGATGTTGCACACAGATTGTGTGTGAAAGAGCTTTGTGATGATGGGAAGAAAATCAGCTTTGTTGACTTGTGTATTTTTCTCCTCCTAGATCCAGATCTTTCTCTTTCAAGAAGCTTTTCCCACTGGGAAATGAGGAGGGTGAGTTTTCAATACATTAAAAAAAAACACACCTCTGAAATGTAAGAACAGCTGAAGAGCAGATGGATATTCACAGAGTCAGTCTGCCCTAAGATGCATGATACATTGATGTAGTCTTCACAACCCCCCTTTTCTATAGCCTGCCAGTTTCTAAATGCCCAGGCATACACAGATTCAATTACCAGTATATCTAGCAGCTTCGGCTTCTCCAGTGCACCGACTGTGTGGAGGTTGTTACCTGCTAGGTACAAGATGTACCTCTTTGTTGTGTTAGGCTCTCCATCGCAGATCTCCTTAAACAGGCTGGGGACTGCTGAGAAGATGTCATTTATTCTTAGAAAGCTGATTGGCATTGAGAGGCATATATTCTGAGAGTGCCATGGATGCTTCAAATAGGAATCTGTTCCCAAAACAGAATGGATCATATATGAATTGGTAATACCACCTTGCCACCTGTTTCAAGACAAGCTTGTTCAGCAGTTTGTCAGCTATGCAGGTAGCAGAACTTACATCCTGCATGCTAGCAGGGAGAACCAAAGTGAACACAAAGACTTGTTTTCTGCAAACCAGTAATTATTATTTGTCATGACATGTGAATGCAACCAGTGCCTCTTGAGGCTTAATGCCATCAGAAATGGTATAAGATGCCCATCCCTCTCCCTCCTCCCCCCCGGCCTGGTTTATAACGAGCTAAACTCCTAATCCTCTGACACAGACTAAATATTTTACTCAAAAGTGCAGTAGGAGCACCCTATCTCCTCAGCTGATCAGAGGTCATTGTGCTCAGCCAAACCCTTTTTGAAGACAGGGACACATTTGGAAATCTACAGCTATCACAAGCACCGCAAAATGCCCATTTGACAGAAGAAAAATTGGTGATGTGCATAACTCCGCCCCTAAATCAGGCAAAACAGATAAAACATAATTTCAAAAAATCAACCAGGAGTCTTGTGTGGATGGAGGGGTGCCTGAGCACTGTGGTGCCCGTGCTTTTCTAGGAAAAACATGGAGAAGTTTCCTAGGATCAAGCAGCAGTTATCTGTTCTGTTGAAATCCAAGGTCTTTCAGATCTCCCAAGGTTTTGCACTGGTGGGTGAAACTAGATACTACTGAAAATATGTGTAATGTTTAAATAACTGCACCACAACATAGTGAGGACATGTCCTTTCTTGTTGCCTTACCTCTCTGATTTTGTTCTGACTGTCCTTTTTAAGAGATCTTATTCTGGCCTTGCCTTTTCATCTACTTTTTTTTTTGTTGCCATGATAACTCTGTGGCATTCTGCTCCTCTGAGCAGATTCATTAACAATTCAGTCCTGCTCCTTTGGCGTTGCTTTTTACAAGTTACTTCATTTTCCTTTAGGCAAAAGAGATGGCAATGATTCAGTGTTCGGAGGCCCCCATGAGCAAGGCGCCTCGGCAGCGTGGTCGTTGGTCGCAACCCACAGGCAGCCTAGAGTTGACGGTGAAATCCATGCTTGACTTGCGGCAGCTGGAGTCTTTCTCCGTCTCCCGCTCTGCCAGCCGAGATTCTCTTTCCCAGGTCAGCAATGGGGATGACCAAGAAGAGCGTCCTGATCTCCCTCTGTGTGTCAACAATGTAAGAGCTTCCCTTCTTAATGCAAGAGATGAGAAACTACCACATGGGAGGGATGGCGTTCTGCAACGAAGCCTCTGACCTTTTTGAATTCTGACCGGGGGTACTATAATACGATAATATTACGTGGGTAGCAAAGCAGTGCATTGTGGGCTAGCGCATTGGATCCTGCTCTGGGCTTTAGATGGAGCAGCCATCAAGACCAATCAGCTGCCAGACCAATGTTTGCTGGGAATTGTAGGAATATAAAAACCATGAATAAAAGATATTCTGCTTCTTTGCTCCTTAGAACAGAATCAGTAGCCTGACTGGCAGGCAGGTGGATATGGCTAATGAGTTGGCTCTGAAGTGGCCGTGTTAACTGCAGTTTTTCTGCATGTTGCTTTACCAAAGCTAAACTAGCTTTGTTTCTGCATTGATATTCTAGGCTGGAGGCTCTGCAGCTCCTCAGGAAAACCAGCCTTGTGTTCGACCCCAAGTTATTCGCCTTGTGTCCTGTGAAGGGGGGATTTTCCCCCAGGAACTGGAACCTTCGGAGAGCGAGGAATATGTCATCTACCCAGAACAAGATGAGATTCACCCTGCAGATGTTAGCAGGTAAAAAAATAAATTCCTGTTTTGCGCCTTGCTTTTAGCTAAGGAAGGTTGTATGCCCACTCCCCCTTCCCCAAAGGAAAAATAATAATGATGATTTGATGATCTGGGTGAGGCACCATGCTGTCCACCACATTCCAAAGTTACCGATGGGTTTAGAAATGTCGGCCTGACTGTAGCTTGCAGGCCGCAATGAGATGAGGCCCGTTAACATAATCTTTGCTTGTGAGCAAGTCGTACATATGAACTACTGCTGCCAGATTTCTCCTTGGATGACTGTCTTGTGAGTTTCTTGTCCTCTCCTGCTCTCCGTCCTCTTCTTTCACGCTTGCCTGGTTTTGAATTTAGTAAGAGAATGCCCGAGCTTGTTCTTGAAACAACTAAAACAGTGGTTGTTTGGAGATGCCACTAACATGACTTGGAGGAGTCATGCGGTATAATAAAAATATTGGAAGAAACCGGAGAGACTTCGGCCTGCTTCCAGCAATCTCTCCCATAATTATAACATTTAACTCTCCCTTCCCTCTGTAGCTGTTTCATTTCCTCGGCTTCCAACGTACAGTGTTACGATTGTGGGCTGTGGATGTGTCTCCACAAGCTGTTACACTCTGAAGGGTGCTTTTTTATATATAAAAAAGCCTGACTATTAGTGCTCTTCCCACCTCACCTCACCCCCCCCACCCCGCCACTTCTGCTTTATGTTTCTAATGTTACAGTTCTAAGATTTAAACAGAGCAGATTGTGGACTCCTGGAGCTGTCAGGCAGTGGGGGGAGGTCATTCTGGGCAGTGTTTGGAAGCCTGATGGACACAGCACTCACAGAACTTGCAAGCTGCGGTACAGTTAGTGTAAATAATATTCTCAGCATTAGTGACCTTCATGCTTGAGTTCAATCGCAGTGACTAGGAGGATTTAAACATAAAAGAACTCCCAAGTATTCCATAAACAGAAAGCCTTTTCTTTCAGCCACGGAGCTAAGAGAAGCTGCGTTAAGCTAAACATACACTGCTGGAGTTAGGACCGAGAGCTGTTGTCATGGTGATGTGTGGAGTCTCTTAAAATGCCATATGCAAACTGGTTTTTCCTCTCATTGGCTCGGTTATCCGTAAGGATTTTCACATATGGTATAGACACAGATGGTAGCTTAGGCCTCAATTTTTCTGTGGATGTGGCTCTTGAGTGTCTTTTAGTTGATGAGGAAAATACGAGAGAGAGAGAGAGAGAGAGAGAGAGAGAGAGAGAGAGAGAGAATAATGGAAATGGAAGGGGAAAGTCCAAATGTCACTGTCCAAGCTCTATGAAGTGCAAAATAATTGTGCATAAATGGTGAAAAGGTTAGGCTTTACAAAACTTATTTTTTGCAATGGTGGGAAGTTAGTAGCACAGGTAAGGTCTTTAAGAGTGTAATAGTTTAAAAGCTGTCAATGCTGGTTCTCACACTTGATTCTTCCCCTCTCTCTCAGCGAGTTCCAGGTAAAAGCACTTCCCCATGGGAAACTAGGTAGAGGCTACCACAGCAACGGGTGCCCAGATAAACACAGCCCTGACAGTGCCTGCTCCGTGGATTACAGCAGCAGCCGCCTCTCGAGCCCTAATGAAGGTGAGATATTTTTATCTATTTGGACTTGTGCCCCACCCCCATTCTGAAAACTTCAGCAAGATGCTACCTACAGATGCAGGGGCAAGAAGGGGTCAAAATGAAATATATAAAACAAAAACAAGTACCACACCAGGCCTACTTAAGCTTGGCCACCAGAGAGCATTCCAGATGAAAAGGTTTTGCATGCTTCTGATACGTGTTTGAAATACTGGCAGACATTTGACTTTCTCTGATATTCTCATTGCACCTTTGTGGGTGATTGAATATCTTTCTTCTGTGGTACCTCCAGGTTAGCCCTACTGGGAGAACTGATATACAGAGGCTCTCCTGGACCAGAGCTACATCTGGCAGCTGGTGCATGGCCTTTGCTGCAAACAACCATCTCCTAAGTTTCTTTCCCCACCGCAAAAATATGTATATGTGAAATCCCAAACCAGGATTTGCCCCTTTCTCTAAGGAACCCCACCCACCCCCCAAAAAATTTAGAGCTAAACAACACCATTCACACAAAAAGCTCTCAACCACATTCCCAAATGGGCAAAGGGAGCTTTCCTTCCCCAATGCCAAACAGCAAGTGCAGTGGGCAGAGACACAGAAAAAGACACCAAATGGAAGCAGCTGCTGGAATGGAAGAATTGGGAGCATGCTTAGAGTGCACTCCTGACTCTTCCTTTCGAATTTGGCATTGCAGCTTTACCTGTCCAACATCTGGTGTCATTTGATGGACACAGGTGGGTGTGGTTCGGGCTAAACTGAATAGGGAGACCTGGTGGGCCAGTTTAGGTTTGAGGTTCTCGTATGGATTAACGGCTGGGGAGGGTTGTGGGAGAGGAGACTGACTTGTTCAAGCATCTAACAACTTATTTTAAGTACCCAAGTGAAGGGTGGCATGCAGAATTCAGGGTTAAATAAACAGTGGGGTGTTAAAAATAAGTAAATCCCCCTCTCTGTATTAAACAAGAATTTCTCAGGAATCAGGAAAGGCCACCTTTTCCCTGTTCTACTTTCCTGAACTCCCATAATTCCTACATAGGAATAAAACCTGAACCCTCTCCCTGCAATCTACATTGTTGTGCGAGTTATGTTTGTGTCATGTTCTCCACTTTAGATTCTGAGAGTACAGAACCTCTCAGTGTGGATGGTACGTCCGATCTGGATGAACAGGTGGGAGAAGAGGATGAGGAGGATGTCAGCGCTGGTCTGTTGGAAGGAGATGTCCCCAGGACTCCAGATCAGGAGAAGTTCCTCAAGCAGCATTTTGAGACCCTGGCCAGTAACGGTGAAAAGGGTACATTTTCCAAACCAGTGGAAACTCTTGACCTTTTTGTGATGTTCCCAAATGTAAATCTACTTTAGACTATCAGTGTCCCCACCTGTTGTGACTCTCCTGTGACCACTGTGGAAGCAAATGCCATTGGTAGAATAGAGAAAATAATGAGAAGTGGGGCACATAAAACCTGTAGCATCTCCTGAAAGTTTGGTGGCACAATGAATGGAGCCTTGTCAAAATGGCAGCTTCCTCTTTTTTGCTGACCTATGGGGAAAGTAATACAGTACTGGCTTGACTCATCTGTTTGTGCTGGGAATTGAGTAGAAATGCAGTGGCCCCTAGTGGTAGACGTTGGCATGTTAAACATTGTGATGAAGAGTAGAATTGTAAGAACAAGAGTACAGTGGTGCCTCGCAAGACGAAATTAATTCGTTCCGCAAGTTTTTTCTTCTTGCGAGTTTTTCGTCTTGCGAAGCACGGTTTCCCATAGGAATGCATTGAAAATCAATTAATGCGTTCCTATGGAGACCGCTTGCCAGGCTGGCGGTGCGGAGAAGGGCTTTTCTCCCCACTGCAAGCCTTCAGGACAGGTACGGGAACAGAGGGGAAGGCGCACAGCGCTTCTCCTCTGTTCCCGGGGCTTGCGGTGGGAGGAGGGTTTTTCCTCCCCACCGCCAACATTCAGAACAGCATTCTGAATGTTGGCGGTGGGAAGGGAAAACCCTCCTCCCACCGCAAGTCTTCAGGACAGCCATCCGAAGGCTGGCGCGGGGAGAAGGTCTCTCCGCCCCCACCGCCAGCCTTCGGAGGAGCCTTCCGAAGGCTGCGGCGGGGCGGAGAGACCTCCTCCCGGCGCCAGCTTTCGGAGCAGCCTTCCGAAGGCCGGTGGTGGGAGCAGAGAGACCTCCTCCTGCCGCCAGCCTTCGGAGCAGCCTTCCGAAGGCTGCCGGCGGGGCGGAGAGACCTCCTCCCGGCGCCAGCCTTCGGAGCAGCCTTCCGAAGGCTGCCGGCGGGGCGGAGAGACCTCCTCCCGGCGCCAGCCTTCGGAGCAGCCTTCGAAGGCTGGTGGTGGGCAGAGAGACCTCCTCCTGCCGCTAGCCTTCGGAGCAGCCTTCCGAAGGCTGCCGGTGGGGCGGAGAGACCTCTCCCGCCGCCAGCCTCGGAGCAGCCTTCCGAAGGCTGGTGGTGGGGCGGAGAGACCTCCTCCCGCTGCCAGCCTTCGGAGCAGCCTTCCGAAGGCTGGCGGCGGGAGGAGGTCTCTCCGCCCCACCACCAGCCTTCGGAGGAGTTCCGAGGACAGTAGGGAAGACGCCCTGCGCTTCCCCGCTGTCCCGGAGATTTCCCTATGGGCTTTTGTCTTGCGAAGGAAGCCCATAGGGAAATTCGTTTTGCGAAGCGCCTCCAAAACGGAAAACCTTTTCGTCTAGCGGGTTTTCCGTCTTGCGAGGCGTTCGTCTTGCGGGGCACCACTGTACCTGGCACCTTAAAGACTAACCAGTTGATTGTGGCATAAGCTTTGATGGACTAGAATCCATTGCAATTCATTCATTCATAAAATATGTATATGCCACTATGTCAGAAAAACATGTATCAAAGCAGTCTACAGCAACAAAACTGTACAATGAAAACCTCCTAATTTTTGTACATTTCCCCCTTTTTAATTCGTAGGTGGATCATGTAGGACCCTGGAGAGAACGGAAAACAGTATTTCTTCTCGCTTTCTGTCCCAGTCTCCTGCTCTCAGGTAGAGTCACAGTTTTCTTTACTGCTGGATAGTCCGGCCTTGCTTTGGCTCAGGCATAACCACCTCATCTCTTGAACTTTCTGCTCCTGGTGCACCTCAGGAAAAAGGCTTGCTCTTATGAAGAGCCAGGTCTTCTTTTTCTATAAAAAGACTGCGTCTGTTTTGGGAGGGTGATTTGGAAAGGCCCAGGTACCCCAATGTTCAATCATGGTGGCTGTCTTTGCTTCTCTTTCTTCAGTCTTCCAGTGAACTTCACAGCTGTGTCGATGAATCCATTTTAGCTGATATAAGAACTAAATTTTGCCATGTGGTTTACTCTTCACCATTTATGCGCTATAAAATGATTTTGCATTTCATTCAGCTTGGACAGTGAAAAAATCTTATTCAGTCTTGCTTTACCCAATGAGCTTTAATCTAGTTTTCTTCCACTAGCAAACTCCTTGTTTTGCTGACTAAGCTCCAGACACTGCATTAGTTTTTTTAAAAAAAGTATTATTTCAGGAAGCCTGTTAAATCTGATGGGGGTTGGAAATTGTGATCTTGTGTATTAGAAAAGGGAGTCTATGAATGTTAGGGTTTACTGAGTACATGGTTCTGTTTTTTTGCTAAAGTAGCAAACAGAAGAGCAGTCTATCCTGATTGCCTACAACTGTATGCTGAGGCCTTTAGGTTAGTGCTAACATCCTGCTTTTCAGATAGAAGAGGAGACGGAAAAGCAGGCACAGATATCCCACGAGTACAGGTCTCTTTCTCTAGAGAGTTTAAGTGGACTAAAGTGAGGGCCTGAATCCAGTAGCATGCTGAGCTGAGAAAACCTTAACCCTGATTATAACTATGGCTTATCTTCCCTTGCTGAAACCTCTCCGTTTCCCCCCCTTTCACTTAACCCTCCTATATAGTAGTCTTGTCTATGATTAGTCTATGTTCACCATACATCCAAGGGGAAAATGTGTTTGTATGAGGATTTTGGCAGTAAGAGCTTGTCTTGTTGCCATGTAGAATCATAAAAATGTAGGGTTGGAAGGGACCCCTAGGGTCATCTAGTCCAAACCCCTTAAATGCAGGAAGCACAGCCCCAAATTAGCTACATAGTACTGTTTTATTTTTATTTTTATTTCAAATGGTGATGGTATTGTGACCTTATATATCCTGCCCTGTCTTTGTCTCTATAGGCAACTGTCACTTTCTTCATCAAATCTGGTATTGGATCGGAAGCCCACTGAGTTGCCTGACTTTCAGAAGCAAGTTTCTGCTGATCCGCTGAAAAATGGGCTTGACCACCAGAACATGGCCCTGGAGAATGGCATCTTCCAAAATGATGTTAATTCATTTAGATCACTCTATATGCAGAGAAAGAGGAAACCTGCGTTAGAGATCAACAGGGGTCCTGGAAGACCACCTGGGCCTTTCCCCGATAGTGATGGGGCAGTGGTGATGAGGAAATCCCAGTCAGTTCATGACCTTGTTCATAATGGTAAGGAAGTGGCTGGGTATTGTGGAAATCGTTAAAAGCAAAAGGCCTCCAAAATAGAAACCTGCCCAGCATTGGAAATGAGAGCCAATTATCTACCAGCTTTGGAGGTGGGCTGGGGAGATAGTCCCTGTCAACACCACAGGTACCTCCTCCTATGCCTTGCGGGTGGCCTGAGCTGGAGAAATGCAGAAAGAATTGCTGTCACTGGTGACGGCAAGAGGAGGACTTAACCTGCTTCCTCTGGAAAGCACAAATTGTTTAAAGGTGATAGAGATACTAGGAGCAGTCCACCTGGAAATTCTTTTACGGGAATTCAAGCGAAAGTCATTGAATCACCGTTTATTTTACTGCAGCTTGTGCAGATAACACTCCTAGTGAAACTCTCCCACTTACAGCCTTAGTGTGGTTTTGCATGTATAATTGGGGCTGCTTTTACTTTGTGTGATGCTCTGCATCAATCAAAGAAGCATTCCACACCTACTTTTAATAATACTCTTATGATTCCCAAGCCATCGTTCGTAGCCCTCTGACTGCTTTTAGCTGTAAAGGAAACACATTTTTTTGCAAATACAAGGTGGCGTTTGCAGTAATCCCCATCACACAGAACAAAGGTTAAAACAGTACATGCAGTGCTATCTCTGGTCACATATTGAGTCAGAAATTTAGACAACAGGGTGTCTGGAACACGGGGCAGTTGCTCAAAATGATTCCCTGAACATAGTTGTTTTGTCTAGTGTTTCACCCAGGAGCTGAAATGAAATAGTAATGATATTAAAAAGCTGGAGCTATTTTGATTGTCTCCAGACCAGTTTTGTGCACTTATTTCTTCCATTTCCACAGATAAGGTTCCAGGAGGGATGCCTTCTGCTAGGCAACGTCCTCAGACCCTAATGGTAGGTGAGAAAGATCCAAGGTCCAATAGCTGTCGGGTTCTGTCTGCAACTCTATTGAAGACAGACGGCTCCAGCTCTCTGCAAGCCAAAGACAGCAAAGCTGCAAAACCAAAGTCCTACATGAGCCCCACCACTAGCTTCATGGCCAAGATGTCCCGCAGCGTATCTGTGGGAGAGAATCTATGTCTTGGTGACTCTGCAGAACACCTGGCTGAGGTGAAGGTCAGCCCTCAAGTACCAGAGAAGACACAGTTGAATCCTTTAGGGGACACTGAGAAGAACAAGCCGCTTGTGAAGGAGAATGGCCTCGTGAAAGCTCCTCTTCAGCAAGCTACAAGTTCTTCATCACCCAAATCCTTTCACAGCAAGCTAGCTTCCAACCGGGCCCATTTGATCCTTGACATCCCCAAATCTCTGCCTGACAGACCGACTTTGGCTTCTTTCTCACCAACTGCCAAATCAAAACCACTGCTGGAATCACCCCAGTCACCTGCTGGCACTGGTATAAAGAAGCACTCGTTTCCTGAAGGATGGGCCTCCAAGCTGGAAAACCAAGCAGCTGTGCCACTAGGCCTTGGTAAAAGTAGCCCAGCAGGTCCCTTTACAGAGACACTAAAAGAGAACCGTACGTTGTTGAGGACCCAAGTCCAAGTCCAGCTTGAACCGGGGGCTACGAACCCCAAACTGAAAGAGTTTTCAGATGGTCTGCACCCAAAATCTCCAGAATACAGACCACTGAGATGCAAAGAAATAATTGGCAGCACTGGTTGTGTGCCGGAGAATCAGCTTGAGCTTTGCTCACGTGAAGCAAGCAGGCCAAGGTCTCCCACAACTGTGGCAGCCCTGGCAGAGGACTCAGGTGTGCACGGATACCCATCTCTAATCTTCTTCCCCCTTCTGTCTCCTGTCTTTGTGAATCGCTTCACACTTCCATCACATTTCTTTACGTCCAGCTTCTGGCCTGTCTCGTCCTGTCTGCACCTGTCTCGTTCCATAAGCCATCCTTTCAATGGTGAGACATTTCAATCTGGCATTCATTTTCCCCCCTTTTCTGTCCTCAGTTTCTGCTTCCAGTTTGTCTTGTGTTCTGTGTTAGTTCTAGCAAATGTTGTGGCTCAAGCGACGATCCACTTGGTAGGACTAGCACAAGAGTGAATATATAGTTTTAAAGTAAAGCTGTACACTGGGTGAAAGAAAACCTTTGCCTGACTTTCAGTGGTAAGGTTACTTATCATTTGTTTCATAATCTTCCATTGATCATTGCCAACAGTGTCTTCCTGTGCTCACTTGTAAAAAGGGAAATACTGGACTGACACTAAAGAGAGAAGGAACTCATTTATTATATATAGAGAACATGGCTGGCAAACAAAGCTGGCCAATGTGTAGTTGCTTTGCTACTCTTAATAGCCTATGTGGGTATATTACGGTAGTTGAGTTAAAAATGGCACGTTTTACTCAAGGTACCCTTGCTTATTGCAGCCATTGCTGCTGAATTCAGGGGAAAACCATGTCTGGAGCTTGTGGAAGTAAATTCCCACTGTTCTCAGGTTTTCCTAGCTGCTCCAGAGTGAAGTTTTGGAGTCCAGTTCTCTCTTGGAAAGATGTGCCTGCAGCATGTTTGGTTAGTTAGGTAACAGCAGCACAGACCTTTTCTCAGTTGCATTTGGTGGTTGTGTGCCATACAATGCATGGTCATGTACCACAAGCCACTCCGAATGTTTTTTGACTTGGTTTATATTGAAAATCGGGGACGCGGGTGGCGCTGTGGGTTAAACCACAGAGCCTAGGACTTGCTGATCAGAAGGTTGGCGGTTCGAATCCTTGTGATGGGGTGATCTCCCATTGCTCGGTCCCTGCTCCTGCCCACCTAGCAGTTCGAAAGCACGTCAAAGTGCAAGTAGATAAATAGGTACCGCTCCGGTGGGAAGGTAAACGGCGTTTCCGTGCGCTGCTCTGGTTCGCCAGAAGCGGCTTAGTCATGCTGGCCACATGACCCGGAAGCTGGACGCCGGCTCCCTCGGCCACTAAAGTGAGATGAGCGCCGCAACCCCAGAGTCGGCCACGACTGGACCTAATGGTCAGGGGTCCCTTTACCTTTACCTATATTGAAGATCACCTGAAATGGAATCACTTTAACAGGAAGGGGCAATTAACGTTTTCCTAAGATGTAGCATGTTTCTTTACTGACACACCCCTGCAAATGGGTATGGTGTGAAACATGAAGAGAGAGACGCTCACTAGAGTATGTTAAAGGGAAGTTTGATTTTTGTTAATATTCTGCCATCTCTGAGCAATGAAGGCAGCTAACAACCAATAAATCTACACGACATCATAAAAGGCATCAAGTAATGAATAAAACATCACAACATCCCTAAAGAAGATAAATGTAAGCTCAGTGTAAAAAACAACAACCCCAAACCCTTTCCCATAAAGTATCATCAACATAAAGCAGCATTTAATAAGTCCATCTGAATGACTGTTATTCCTGTGTCAGGCTGTGCAGTTAATGCTGTGCAATTCCATAAAATTTGTATTGCGGCTAATATAAAAAGTGCTGCAACCAGATGAATAAAGCACAGGGCTCTGGGCAATAGGAGGGATGGATGGGAAACTGAGTTCTAATATTCTGTTCTGCTATTAACGTGCATGTAACTTTGGTGCAAAGTTACCTAAACATCTGCTCTCAGTCTTTCCCCATCTGCTGGATGTGCACATACTTCTCACTGATAACAGTACGTTGAGATCTATGGAGGAAAATGCTGTGGGATTTGAAGTATGGTTATATAAAACAGCCATATGAAATTCATGTCTGAAGGTTCATTCTCATGGCTTCAGAAGTTTTACAGCTCTCATTCATCTATTTAAATAATTTTACCAACTTGCCTGTGTGTGTTTGTGCACACGTGCTGGCATTCTTTGATTTCAACAGAATATAAATGCATAATAATCAATGGGAGAAATCCGCAGACAATAAGAAGAGAACAATTCGTGTTCTGATTTAGCAAGAGTAATAGACAAGATAATGGAAGACAATGTATTCACACTGTAAATTAACAAGAAGATGAAGACCATGTGGATCTGAGGCGTTAGCTGGCACCATTAACCTTTAGTGAACCAACCCCTCTCCTTGTGTGTTTCCCCCACCGCCCAATTCAGAAACCCACAGATCTTTTGTTTTAGCTTGTTATTTGCTAGGAGGATTTTTAAGTGGCTCTCATGTGAGTTATGATGCGGGAGGACAGAATAAAGGTCGAATCATGTCTGTGTATGTGTATCCCACTTGTATGTCTATCGTCTTTGTCTCACTACATGCCTTCAGATGTCCGACCTTGCTTGGTTAATGAGTTGGCAACCAAGCAGACAAAGTTGCCTGCCTTTTAAATAAGGGCAGGATAGCAATGTACTGCTGAAATGTGCTTCCCTCAATCATCCCTCTACCCCATGTTGTTTCTCACCCTTAGAATGCTTATAAAAGAAAGATGCTTCTTTGTTGCCTGTTTGAATTATGTTTCCTAATGTATAGTTAAGTTCTTTGTTTAGGCAAGTATTTCTCAGACTTCTAATAACACTGGCACGCTGCTTTCTTAATTAAATTTGGAGGTAGACACTTGCACTTCAGTTTAATTTTGGAGAGTAAGTATTTCCGTCCTCAGAGGAATCTACTGTGTGTTTCCTGCTTGTATCATGCTTGGGATCTGCCTCCTGATTGGAAAGAGGCAAGTCTGGAGCGACGGTTGGCAGCAGAAATGCGATGTGCAGCCTCTCATGATGGCAGGAAATCATCTGTATCTCTAAATATAGAATGGTTTGAATGATTTAATCACATATGATGCAGAGTTGTGGCAGAAATTCCTGTTACCATTGGAGGATTATTTGGAAGGAGGCTAGGTCAACAGCACAGTGAATGGTGCAGTGAGCAGCTTCCCTTTGGGATGGCTGCTTTGGCTTCACAGGAACTTTAAAACTATGAAGCTAATTTCTCACAGCACATGTTTTTAACAGCCAGAGAAAATGTGCCACTGAAATGCTCATTATATCTCTGGGGGAAGAGATATTCAGGTGCAGCTATAGAGAATGCCCTCTTCCTAGGTGCAGCAATGCAGGCCACAGCACCACTAAGACTGGCTCCCTTCAAAGGCTTAACAACTTCTCCTATGAGAGAAGTTGCTCTCTATTCATGTAAGTTCATAGCGCATAATGAACAGTCTCATGCAAGGATTTAAAGAAACATTGAGATGGGTGGGGGAGGCCAATGTATGAAATGGCTAGATTCTCTGCAGGGTTTCCCACCGTCTCAGGACAGTGGGCAGGGCTGGAATGGTACTTGTGTCCTACTTAGCGCCTTTGTATTCTGTCTTTCCGCGCCCCCCCCCAACAGGAGGCTCTTCAGTCAGCATTGAGCAATGCAAGCACGTTGTGTCTGAGCTCCAAGACAGTATGCGCAAGGCCATCCATCTATACCATATGGTAAGTCACACTTTCATTCCAGCTGGTCACTTGGATCTTAATACTTATATGTGATTATCTTAGACTAATTGGAAACATATGGTTAAGACTGCAAGCAAAGGTCCTCTAAATTTTCGTACTGGAGGAGATACCTGTGTACTTACAAGCCCTTTGGGTTGTTGTGTGGATCACCATTCTGTGGGAAGGAATGCTTCCAGATGGGCATTTATTGTAAAACAGTGTTTCTCAAGCACACAGGTAATTTTTTTGCCTTGCGCATACTGTCACACAATGTTGTTGTCAAACCTCCCCCCCCCAGCCGTTTATACATTTTAATCCATATTTTCCATTTCTGTAGAAAATCTGGTAAGTAAAAACAACCCATTGTACACCTGCAGAACCTTTGTCTTGCCAGGGTTTAAATTCAGCCCAAAACTTTAGTGAGATGCTGACCCAGCATGGCCATTCCCAGTTCAGATGTTACAGAGAGACAGAGCTTTCAATGGTTGGCTTTCAATAGCTGAGTCAGCAAAAGCGTGATGATGATGATTGAATCTTACTGTTTTAAATTGATTTTGATTGGGGTTGCCAGACAAGAAGGTATTCTCATGCATGTATGAGAATCCCTATGAGGCACAAGACCTTTTGTACACTTCATACACAAATATATGATAATTCAGACTCACTTGGTGCACAGCATTAATTCAACATGGTAGGGCCTTCTCAGTAGTGGTTCCTCATTTGTGGAATGCCCTCTCGGGTGAGGTGTCTCTGCCTCCCTCATTTTTAACATTCAGGGGAAATATAAAATCATTTACCCAGGTGCTTGATGCCTGGAAGGTTCCTGGCAGCCCTGAAACTATCTGCTGGGAGGGCATGTGATTGCAGTTAAATATGTATTTAACATGTATTGTTTTATCACACCTTTTATCACTTTGGTGTTTGCTGCCCAGGTAGGAAGCGTAGGATATAAATCTAATGGAGAAACAAGCAGACAACATGTTTAGCCATTTCCAATGCTTGAGACTGATTGGGAGAATGTGCTTGAAAGGCTGAAAGTTTTGTGTTGATATTTTTAGTTTTTTGTGGGACAGTAGGTGGAATGGGAGGAAGAAAAGCGACAGGAGGGGCAATGGGTCAGGTGTGAGGAGTAGCTGATATGACTGTGGTCACTGCTGCTTGAAGTGAGAAGTCCATGCTTCTCCCAGGTATTTTCCCATACAAGAAAGAGGAGGGATTACAGAGATTGAAGTTAGGGACCCTCAAACTCTACACTGGTGATCGCATAGCACTGGACTTGGTTGTTTTCATTGCTACCAACCAGAAGCCTTCAACACAGAACAAGCTGTGTTTCTAAAATAAAATAAAAATATTGCTCACCTCCACCCCACTTTTTTTGCAGGTGTCTGCTGACATGGAGTCTTCAGCCGATAGAAATGAGATTGCTGGCCTCTTGACTGATACCTTCTCTGTGATGAAAAAAGAACTAGATTCCCTGAAGGATGGGAAAGAACTTCAAAGGGAGAAAGAAGTGTTGGCGAAGCCACACGACCCAACTGTAATGCCAGTCAGTGAGGGAAGTGGTTCCACCTTATCCAGTCCTCGGCATTTTGGAGATGAGCAAACTCTTGCTTTGTTGGAACAATATTCAGAGCTGTTGCTGCAAGCTGTCGAACGACGTATGGATAAAAAACTGTAAAGAAGAGTAGTTCTAAGGGGCATAAACATCTAATGAAGAAACTGACAGCAACACAGGGAAAACTAACATAGTGAAAACCTGGAATGACTGCTATTGTTGACTTTTATCCAATGGTGAAATATTTTTTTCCTCAAGCAGTTCTGTTAAGAGGGGGTCATTTTATGGCTTCCAGAAATGTGCTGGTCACAGTACTAATCTTTCTGTGCCCACTTCTCTCTCTTTTCCTTTTCTTTTTTGGTGGTGTTAAGAAAAACTTATTGGAAACTTTATTCCAGCCAAAACATTTAAAACAAAAATTCCTACAGACTCAGTTGACTGTGGCTCAGCCTGAAATTGCTGACTTGGTGGAAAGATATTGAGATGGCACCTGTCACTCCCTCTGCAGTGCTCTCTCGATCTATGTACAGTGTTAAAATTTTATTTATTAATTTATTTTTGTGACTATTGCTCTAAACTTTTCACATGCATTTTGTAGCTGTGACTGTTTCCATGTCTTTCCCACACGTTTTGTTGCAGTAAACATAACTATACTAGTAGATTGGCAGGCGGAATTTCTGAACTACTTTTTGCTGCAGCCTGCCTTGCTGAATTTTACTCATAGGTTTTTTCTTTTCTTTTCTATAAAAAGACAGTCTTGTTCTCCCTGTTTTGCCTTCTGTTTTAAAGAAAAACCTATGCTATATACCTACACCTGCACTTGCTTCCAGAGGACAGCACACCCTTTGGACCAAGCTACGGAGATTTGTTACAAGACTGTTTGCAAACATGAATGCTTTTGCAAGAACTGTACAACATTTTATATAAAACTTGACCTCTACACTAAGGAGTTTTTTTAAATTGAAGAATTGTTAAATTCTATTTATAAAGTTATAATTAGAAGTGGTGTTCAACTGGTGTTGTATACTGGGCTCTTCAGATGATGTTTTTGGGCGATGGGGGGGGAGAGACATAGGGTTGCTATAGCATTTATTAGATAAAATGTTTTAGTTTAATTCTAGCATAAATTTAAAGAAATTTGTCAGTGAAGAGAGCCTGACACCCGTTTTTAAGTACTGCTCAAGTGAAGCATGAGATGTACCTAGCGTCCCAAGAGGGAGACCCATTTTATGTCTCCATTGCTAAAACCAGAAAACTACCAATTAAATGTGACTGGACAGAACATTTAGACAGTTGTGATGTAACTATTTTCATTTCCTTTTTTGTGATGAAAAACAAAGCAGGTCAGTGGGGTGGGAATGAGACTGCATGGAGTTTTATTCTGTTCAATGAAAAACTTGCCATATTTTCCCAAACTCATTAGTCCATGGCTTTGACTCTCAGATTGCTTATCCTAGAAGGTTCTTCTTTCATTTACCGTGCTCTCAGATTAAAAATCCCTCCTCCTGTTTACTGAATTATCAAACCATATTCCCAGAGTACTAGTTGATAAAAGTATTTCAGAGATGGCTATCCTACCGAATTTTTTTGAGCTATTCTCTCTGGTCAAAAAGCAGTTCTGCATCCACTATTGTCCATCTGATCATCTGACTAAATTGCTTTGGTGACCTGGGTCTTTTTCACCAGCTTTCCCCCCTTGCACTTCTCATATGGGATTTTTCATTCACTGCGCTGTAGGACTGGGAACCTTGCAGCGTAGCTTCTTTTCTGGGACTGGTTGGCTCTCATAATATATTATAGAGCAGCCCTCTTTTTGGCTGGCTGGACAGCCAACCATCCATAAATTAACTGCAAGATTAGGGACCTGGAATGTTGTTTGTGCTTTTTAGTATGTCCCTCCCAGAACTTCCTGGCAGTCTTGCTCTCTCATACACTTCTCTGAATGGTAGTTAAGATACATTCATCAGAACTGATATTCGGCTACTGTTTTCCGTCCATGAGCGAGCATGAAATAGAGCAATGTCTGTGGCAAAGGAATAGGCTGGGTCACATGAAAGATACTCCTTGGACATCTATTAATTGAAAATTGAGATGGCTTTTTTGGTTTCTGAGTGTACATGCCAGGAAAGGTCTTAGGCAAAATAACTTTTATTTCCCTGTTCACATTAGGCTGTGAAAAGTGTTCAATGCTCAGGAAATTTTCCTGTTCTGAGACACACATATACTCAGGGTAGAAGAGCCATACTTCCAACACAGACATCTTGTATGAGAAAGGGAGATATTGAAGTTCTTTGTGTTGATTTAATCTCCAAAGTTGTCAAATGCATTAGTGTGACAGCAGAATCAAGATGTTGATAGACAAATACCTCAATGCTTATTGATACAGTACCCAGTAGGTGATTTCTCTGGGTTTCTCTTGGGAGAAAGGCAATATCAAACAAAGTTCAATGTTACTGTCAAAACGTTTCTGCAAAATAATTTTCTTCAAATTACTTGAGCACTGTCTGTATTCATGGATCAAAGTGGAAAATGGGTGTAGAAACGAACTAGTACTGTGGTCTTGAGTAAGTAGGTATGCAAGAATGTATGGGCAGGCCTGTAGTTTTTAATATTACATGGAATAGAACGGCCAAGATTTTTAGAAAAGTAGTAGTAGGGAAAGGAATCTTTTTGGTTCAAAGCTAAGAGTATGGTTCCTTTGAAATGGTGCTTTTACCGGAAAGAGGCAGAACATAGTTAAGTAGAACTGAGAATGAATTTTAGGTAAATTAAAAGATGAGAATTGTTAGGTGTTTCCTTTTTTTAAAAAAAAGAAAGGAAGTAGTTTAATGGGCCCTTCGTTTCCACTATTATATCCATGAATTGGGGAGGTTTTAGGAGGGACTATCCTCAGCCAGCCAGTTGTCTGAAACCATTTGGTGCGTGTTAGCTTCTTAGCTATCTTGTTTTCTGTCCCAAGGATTTGTTGCTGAGAAGAAACGGGAGGAAAGACTGTTTCCTCTTAAGGAAAACACTTTGATAGTTAAATGTCAGCCTGCTTTACTTTTAGTTTTGAACTGCATGTAAATTATTTGGCTTTATTATAGATGTTCTCTGGCCCTATTAGGAAACTTCAACAGATAATATAAGGGTTGTGGAAACAGAAATGCATGTAGTATCTGAACCTGGCCCACTTCTACTGATTTTTAATGTTTGCATGCAAATTAATGTATTAAGGTAAATGGAGAAAGTATGTACCATGAACTCAACACTGATGCCATGCTGACATATTATATCCATGCTTTCTGAAATGTTTCTGTACAGTGTAATTTGCATTTTATTCTTTGTGTATGCTGTTTCCTTTTTTCAAGGAGAGTCCTTAGAAAAGAGAACAAATACCTGTACACTTGAATGGGACAAAATGGCCTCTCGTTGTTTCTACAGAAACACAGGAGACATTTGAAAGCCAAAATTGTGTTTACACCAGCTATTGGTATATGCAACTGGTGCTACAATATATGGCCATTTTGTTATTAACCCCTCTCCCCCTTTTTCATCCAATCCTTTTCAGTGACACCTCTAATAGTTGGGCCTGTTAGAAAGGATTAGCTTCCTCTTTTGCTCAACTGATCCGGGATACATTTCTTTCTGCAAAAAGAGTTACTGTTATGGCCAGTGTATGCATCGGAGCATTTTAAACAACGTTGTCGCATATCAACACAGAAGTTAAGCCACTGGACCTCCAGTAGCATCCAGTATTTTTAATTTTTTTAAATAAATAAATAAATAAAATAAATCAGTTGGAGGGGTGAATAGCTGCCTTGTGGACCTTCAGGCAGGTACTGTTGTGACTAGATTGCTCTTTCTATAGATAATAACTAGAGTATCCAGAATCCTGTATTGTTTGTATATTATATTCTGGAGCTGGGCTGCTTACATATTGAGTTAATCTGCTGTAGATCACAGACTGTGATGCATGGAGCAGCAATTTAAGGAATAAGCCATGTCTACTCAGCATGTCTAAGTTAAGTCTAGGCACCAGATAAACATCCCTTTTACCTGTGTTATTTCAACACTCCCTTCCTATTCTCCGCTTGTTTAAAAGGAGATAACAACCCTGAAACCTTTTATTTATAAATGTGTGTTTTCTACCTTGGCTTTAAGAGGGGGGAAAAATCTTTTAAAATGTCTTCTTTTTTAATTATTTGAAACAATTGTTTTATGTTTGTGGGGGTTTTGCACTGTGAGCCACCTTTCTGGGGCTATTTTTAATTCTGTATTCATTTGTACTCTGCGTCTTAAGTAGTTTCAATAAAAAAAAGTGTGAACCTTTGTTACTAAGCTGTCTTCATGCTGTTGCTCAGTGCTATTGCCTTGATTCATTTTTATAGTTTATTAGGGTTTTCACATTCTTATAGCAAAACAGTTCTGTCCCTTCCTCCTCCTGGCCTTCCCTTCTCCCTTGCCCTTTGCAGTAATAGCATTGTCATTTCTTTTGACACATTGCATTGTTCAGATTCATGTTGCAGTGTTCAAGTAAGATCAATGCTGCATTCAGGATCCAGCTAAGCAAACACTGTGTTGGAGGAGTTTTTGCTAACATGGGGGTTTTTTTTGCAGGGGGTGGGATCATGCTGGATTGGCCAGATTCTATATTTCCAAAACAAACCTTTCAGCATTCACTACCAACTAGTTTATAAGAGCCTTTAGAGCAAAAATTACTTGCCTTTCTATAGAACAAATGCTGAATCACAACCAGCTTCCATGGGCAGGAGTAGGCAGAGGCACAAATACCATTTTCTCCAGTTTTCGTTGCTTTGTTTACACAAATTCTAGTCCCACAGTGGCCAGTAGTAATAGGTGCTCTATTATTTAACAAAAAATTGTTTCCATTAGCCTGCTCCTCCTTCAATCAGTGATTGAAGATTGAAGATGGAGAGGGCTATTAGGTTATTTTAATTTTTATTAGGTATTTTGGTGTTTTATATCTTGATTTTATTCTGTGAACCACCCCGAGACCCCCGGGTATAGGGCAGTATATAAATTCAATAAATAATAATAATTGACTGGGTGTTTCAGCACCAAAATGTCCCAAGGTTCATGCCAAATTTGAAAATAAAAAAACTTTGGCCTCAATCTTGACTGGCCAAGTTTGGACCAGCACCCCACAAGAAACAACTAAATCTCCTCATGCATCAATGAAGTTTTTTGTTTTGTTATAGTAGAATTTAGATGAGAAAAGAGAGCCAGAACCGCCACTGACAGCAGCGAATTGACATAAACCCGAACCAGGAGAGCTTATTATCTTGACATGGCAGGCGGAGCTCTCCTCTCGCTCGCCCGTAGGGAGGCGGGCCTCGTTTCTCCCGCGCCCGGCGAGGCCAGCCCTCTTCTTGGGCAGCCGGAGAAGGGCGGAGCGCAAGCCGGACCCCAACGCGGCTCAGGCGGCCCGAGACGCAGCCGCTGCTGCTGAAGGAGCAGCTGCTCCCGCCATGGCGGAGAGCGAAGCGGAAGGGGAGGCGCTGCGGGCGGTGAGGCGCTGCCTGGAGGCTTTCCCGGCCGAGGCGAGGGGTGAGCCAGGCGGAAGGGAGGACCTTTGCATGGCCCTTCGCAGGGGAAGAGAGCGGGGAGGGCGGAATGGGCGGGCGAGGTTAATCGCCCTCCTCGCGGGTAGCATTAATGTTCCTTCCCTGACAGGATTTCTATCTCGGAGTGCAATCGGGTTATCCGCTGCCGTTTAGGTGTTTGCCCGCAAAAGAAAAGAAAAAGGCGCGTTGATTTACCATACCTCGCAGAGGTTCAAACCGCGAGGTGTCTGCATTTTCCTGCCCCAGCTCTCAAAAGTGAAATATTCTGGACCCGAAAAAATGCACTCACTCGGACCCCCCCTTACTGTTTTAGGGATTGTGAGGAAAGCGGGAGCTTATCCGGGGCATCCCCTTCCCGTTGCAGGGGCAAGCCTTCAGTAGTCTGGAAAGGGCCATAAGTGGTCGAGCACATGTTTTGCACGTGTGTTAGAGCACATACAGGGCCGGATTTAGGTTTGATGAGACCCTAAGCTACTGAAGGTAATAGGGGCCCATGATAAGGATAATAACAAGAGATTAATAATACATTAAAACAGTATACGTCCAGCTGTCCTTTTTCAACAACAAATTGTCGCTATTTTTGTGTGTTGAATATATGCTATATGGACCTAATTTATGGACCTAATAGGTATCTAAAGCCATTTGCACATAACAAAATATGTATTTTATCAAAGTAATTGTTGAACTGAAATACAATTAAGGAGAAGTATATTAATAGTGAACTAATTATTAAGCTCTAACTTAAAATGATTGAGGGCCTATTACTTACATCATAGGAGCCTACACAACACAAAACACTGTTGCTGTATGTAGGTTTTATTTTATTTGCTTTTTATCTTCTGTTTTGGAAATGTACATCCAGGGTTTTATTTTCCTTTTAATTTTTTGGGGGGCCCCCAAGAGAGTGGGGCCCTAAACTATAGCTTGTTTAGCTTATACATAAATCCGGCACTGAGCACATATGTCAACTTGAAGTTCCTCTCCCAACCCCCAGCCCCTTGGATAATTTCAAATAACTAGCCACAGGTCCCTGCCGAATGCACACATGTCAGAATGTGGCTGGCTTTGGGGCAAGATGCCCTCAGTGGGGCTTTGTGGCTGAGCATGCTGCTATTGCTACTGCTTGCCTCTTCCTTAGATCTGCACAAGCCATCCAGAGAAAGGAGACTGCTAGGTATTCTTGCTCCTTCCACTTCTTCCTCAGACAGCAGGCATCGGAGATTGGCAGTAGGTCCCCTACTGGGGCACGGACCTCAGCAAGCACCCAGTGATGCCAGTATTTGATGCCGGCCTTGTGTGCACAGTACATTAAACCACAGGATATGTTGTGTGTATCCGTATGGAATTTGTATATTGTGTATCATGTGCAGCAGCTTTTAAGTTTGTGGCTAAGCATGTCCACGGATTCTTGTATCTGTTCTTTGAATGTCTGTACCAATATTTTAAGTAAGTCCTAGATGCCAGGTTCCTAATTGTTGTATATATCATATAAACACATGCTACCTCTAATTGCCAAAACAAATAAACTGAAACTAAGCTGAACAGGTATCTGCATGGACATAATCCACAAACCTTGCCCAACCCAACATTTTGAAAAGTGAAGCTTGTTGAGAAAGTCTCATTTTTGTGACTTAAAATAAGCTGCAGGCTAAGAGAACTTAAGAGGCCAGGATCTTCGCTCCAAGCAAGTAATAAGTTCTAACCAAGAACTTACTGTTATTATTGTTATTATTGTTATTATTGTTGTTGTTATTGTTTTCGGCTTATGACTTATGGTTTGTTTGTAGGAAACAAAACCATGAGTCTGGATTCAGATGTAACTCTTAAGCCAAACCCATAGCTTAGCTGTCAACAGCACGGCAGCAACAGGAGTAGGGGAGGAGTGAAGTGTCCACAATTTTAGCCCTGTGCATCAGCTTGTTGTGCATTCACCTTTAAACCATAGTTAAGATTAACTGTGACATGTGAATGAGGCCAGTCCTTGAAATGGTAACACGATCATTCACGGAAGCGTTTTTTCTTTTGCCTGAACAGAGTTGAGTTTCACAGATTCTGTGCCATATCTTGATAGCCTTCCATCCCCCTTGGAGTTCTATCGGGAATGGGTTTGCCCAAACAAGCCATGTATAATTCGGAATGCAGTCAACCATTGGCCAGCTCTGAAGAAGTGGACATTAGCTTACCTGAGGTAGGAATCTGCCTGGCAGGCCCTAGCTTCAAATATAAAGTGCACAACATGGAAATACTGGAAATAAATTTATTGATGATGTTTCTTAATAAGAGAGTTGCCAGCAAAAACAAATCCCTCCATGAAGTCATCAGCTTCACAGGGGAAAATTTAGTCAGAACTGTTGTGGCTGTTTTACTATTTATGATTTTTATTTATTTATTGAATTAGTATCCTAGTCTTCCTCTTGAAGGAGCTTGGGGAGGCTGTTGTACCTGAGGGAACTGGGACCAGGGGTGGGAAAGTATTTCCAATTTCTGGGCACCAATATTAAGTCATTAGACACCAGGATGACCAATAAAAGGCAAAGAAAAAAAGAAAAATAATTCAAAATCTACAGCTGGACACTTGTGTTCATTAGGACCAACCAAAACATCACAAAATAGTGAGCAAGCTTTCAAGTTCTACATAGCTCTTCGTTAGACTTGATGTTACACAAAGCAAGGGGTTTGAAGGCGGGATGTGAGGGGCAAAAAATTTAAGTCCAAAAATTAGGCTGCATGTTGTAGCCATGAGGTCTGCATTTAGATTGCAATTTATTGCATAGTGGTGAACGTCTGATGTATTTTGGTGCAGGGAAATAATGAACTCCAAGCTGGTGAGTGTGGCAGTAACTCCAAATGGTTATGCTGATGCAGTTTATCAGGACTGGTTTGTTATGCCAGAGGAACGACACATGCCTTTCAGTGCTTTCTTGGACATTGTAGAGAAAAAAGTAACTTCTCCAGGGGTGTTCTATGTGCAAAAGCAGTGCTCGAACTTAACTGAAGAATTCCCTGAACTTATGGGAGATGTGGAGTCTGACATACCATGGATGAGTGAGGCCGTTGGTAAATATCAAAAGCTTAATTTTATCTATGTGTTGCGCAGTCCATTTAAATGCAGTGCTTACAACTGATCCAGCAGTTTCAAGTTATGCACTTTTCTGCTGTTATTGGCCGCCTGCCCACCCGAAAAGATGAATGCTGCAGCAAAAATTCACATTCTGGCTTGAAATACTCTGAAACATTGCATAATTCATGAATTTGTAGAGAGAGATGAATTGATGGCTTTGTAATTGTGCATGCAATTTCTATTCAAATGCTAAGCTGTACAAATTGTGATGTACAGTACTTGTAGATTAATAGACTTTGAGGTCTCTGATCATTTGTGTTGGATGGAGGAAGGACGAGGCAAAGGGAAGAATACTTTCCATCCTCCACCAGCAGTTGTCTCCACAGCAACAGCAAGCCTCCTTAAGATAAGAAGTTTTCTCTGGGAGCAGTGGGTCCTTTTTGAGACAAGACTAGAGGGTTTCTGCTTATGTAGATACCAGATTCTTGGATAGGGTACCCCACTCATACAGGGATATTCATATGGCAAGGAAATGCAAAACCAGGATGGAAACACAAATATCTCAAAATTTTCAGGCCTGTGCTTTACTGGTAAAAGTAAATGAGCATTTAAATTACTTTTTAAAAAATAAATGTCTGCTCTTTAAGGGTGATCGCTATATACATGGGAACTTTGCTTCAGACTAAGCTTCC